GAGAAGGATTGGTATAGTTCTTTCAATATATGGTAGAATTCGCCAGTGAAGCCATCTGGTCCTGAATTTTTTTTTTGGTGAGAGGTTTTTGATTACTGATTCAGCCTCCTATTGTAATTAGTCTGTTCAGATTTTCTATTTCTTTATGAGTGATTCAGTAATAGTAGGTGGCCGTTTCTTCCAGCTGTCATTTCTTTTAGGTTGCCCAGTTTGCTGTGTTTATCTAATTTTCATTTCCTCTGTATCTAATCTGCTATTTAAACCCATCTACTTTGTTCTTAACTTAATAATTTTGTTATTGACTATTTTTGTTTCTAGAATCATTTGGTTGTTTTTCAAATTTTTTGTGTCCTTACTCTCTCCACCACCCCCACAGCCCCCAGTTTCCAGTTGTCTGCCAAAATTCTCAGTCTTATATAATAATCTTTATATATACAGTACTTACAGTTATTTTAAAATATTTGTTTACTAACCCTACCATCTGAAGATCCTACGGGTCTGTTTCTCACCTTTTAATAGATTCATTCAAGTCTATGAATTGCATTTAAGTATTGCTTTGGTTGCGTCCTGTAGGTTTTCATACGCATACATGTTCTTATGCATTTAAGTATTTTGTCATTTCCGTCTTTTTATATCCTATGGACTATTCAAATGCACATATGTTAGTTTCCAAATATATAGGAAGTCTGAGTCTACTATTGTAGCTGATTTCTAAATTTTTATTGCATTGCAAGGACAGAATATCTCTTATGTTGGTTTATTTGCATGCTTCTGTTTGTTTTTGCTCTGGTGACTTAACATTTTCTCTCTTATTCAGAAATGTCCTCACAATGTGTCTAGATGTACTTTTTCTTATTTATCTTCCTTGGAATTCAGTGGACTTTCTCAATTTGTGGATGTTTGTATTTATTTTGGGAAAGTTCAACTGTTGTCACCCCACTGTTTTGTTTTGTTTTTTAATTTCTGAAACTCTTATTGAATAGGTATTGGACTGTCTGTGTTTCTCCTTTACAGACCAACTTTATCTTCTGTATATTCTCTGTGATGTTCTGGACCATGTCCTCAGCCTGGCTTTTCTGTCCCAAGGAATGTTTCCTTCTGAAGACAGCCACCCCTTAAGCTTTCATGAGCTATGATGATATGGGTTGCTGACCTCAAATACTTATTTATCTCCATATTTGAAATAACACTTTTCCTATCTTTTTTTTCTATTTTCTATCTATGAAGCAAGTTTATACACATATATATGCATATATGTGTATATATGTGTGTTTGTGTGTGTGTGTATATATTTTATATATATATATATATATATATATATATATACATGCACATTTTAAGCTAANTTATATATATATATATATATATATATATATGCGCACATGCACATTTTAAGCTAAAATCTTATAATGTGATATAATATTTTCAAACAGGGCCAGCCTAAATTTCCGTCTTCTCTGATAGCCTGGGAAGAATGAAAGAAAGAGTGAAACCAAGTAGAAAATAGGGAAACCCCTTCTTAGGAATTGGGGAGGCAAAGTGTGTCCCTGCATTTCCAATATTTTCCAGGTCACATCTCTCTGAGTTGGATACAATGACTTCTAACTATGTAGAGATCCTAGAATCATTGTTGGTATACTGGAATTCTCAGCTAGCCACAGACCTAGACTGGCCCCTTTACTAGTTAAGCCATAATAAACAAACACAACCAGATGGGGCAAAAACACAGCTTGGCTCTGGCATAGATTGGATGTAGTAGCTGGACTCCTAGATGCTTAACTGCAAGACTAGCCTTGGTCATTTCATTTCCCTTACACTAACCCAAATCCACAATTTACTGATCCCTTGTTTTGGACCCCACTTACGTGCATTTTAGCAAGAATTTACTGTACTTTTAGTAAGGTATGAGTATAAATTACAAATAAAACTAAATCTTCCTTTGACAAATAGCCAATTACAGTTCAGTACAACTCCTTACTCCTCCGCCCCAGTGAGCTTGATGAGCATTCCAGCTGTCTTGAGTGGTATAGGTGAATGTCTGTCTGTCTACACACACACAAATAAGTATATACATGCATACACCTAAACATATAAATAATACAAAGTTTCTTTTTTTCACTGTGTGTATCATTTGGCAGCATATTTTTAATCACTTAAAATTAACTACAAATATCTAAAATTCTGGCCATTTTATTGAACTATTATGTTCACAAAGTTGATTACTATATACCACATTTCATTTATTTATTTCTTACCCTCCTTCTCATTCCCAAAACCCATCTAGGTGCTTTAGAATCATTGCCACTCAAAACAATGCTGCAAAAACAACTTTAGATCTGGTTTCTTATATACATGGAGCAAATGTTTCTTTGGGGATCAGAATTTTTTCCCTAGAATTAATCTTTGGAAATGCAAGAGATTTTTTTTTTTTTTACTCATCCTTTTTGTATGCCTTATATGTTTATCCTCATTGGCACTTAAATTTCTCTATTGGCATATCTGCAAGAAAGTAAACTAGTGTCTCTTGTTGTCTTATTGGGTACACAGCGCTCTCTTCCTCTTAGATTAATGAGAATTAATTGACTCTCTATGTTGGATTTCCTGGTGATTCTGTTACATAGTTGATTATTTTTAAATTGTTCTAGTGATATCTAGGAAATATTATAGTATTTCTTTTCCTTTATAGAGCTAACCTCCAAATTTGGGTGTTTTAGACACTTTTATTAAGCTGGTAGATGGTACTTACTGTAACCCTATCGTTTCCTGTTTCCATTCTCCTTTGGAGAAAAAATGTGCTTAGGTTGTCTTTTCCTCATTCCTTTCATTGCATTTTTGTGTGTTCTCATATATCCTGTTCCTTGGTAATATACTTGCATATTCTTCCCTTCTTAACTATTGTATTATAAGTCCGAATATAATTTAGACATTAATTCAAGATTATTTCTCCTCTTTTTCTAAAGTTGGAATAAATCTAGCAGGACTCTCGGATGAGGGATATCCCAGTTTTTGTTTCACTAGTTTTGTGATCTTTTAACAGGGCTTTTGGCATTTAAGTAGTTCATAAAAAGAGAAAGCTTGAATAAATGATATTCAGGCTTTTCTCCAAAAACTTCTTTGGCCAAATTAAAATGAGTAATTTCATAAACAGTGAAGAACTTGAAGACACAATATTTATTGACTTTGGTATAAGTGACAATGCTTATTTATGTGCATTAAGGTTTTAAACTGTAAATATGTAGAACAGATTGTAAGATACAGAAAGTGTATGTTTTCTTTTATAGGTGTTTGTTTTGACCTGCCACTTTAAAATTAAGTCAAAATGCCAATAAGACCAGATCTCCAGGTATGTAGTCCTGTACCAGAAGCAAGTATTTTATTTTAGTTCCTAAAATCACTTTTTGTTTGTTTATAAGTATTAAGTGCTATATTTTTAGGAAAAACAAGCTTTTTTGTTTTTATGGAAGTGGTCAAGAGGAGAATAATTTAAAATGTTATCCTGTCATTTTTTAATAGACTTGTTTTCAAAGCTATGTTAAAAATATTTAAAGTATAGATGCTAATTATTTGTGTGTGTATGTGTCTTTTACATTGGAAAGAATCGTGCATTGATTCATGTATAAAACTTATGCCTGGATATTATCATATCAAGGTTTAAAATTATAAGATACTTCATTTAAGTAAAGAGTAAATTTTATCTATTTAACTTCTCTGCAGTTCACTGCCAAGTCTGGTGATTGGATTGTAGAATGAAAATTACTTATTAATGATGCCTACATTAATACTAGGAATGGCAGATTTTGTAAAGTTTATACGGTCATGTACTGCTTAATGAATGCTTTCTGAGAAATGTGTCATTAGGCAGTTATGTCTTTGTGGGAACATCGTAGTGCACATACACAAACCTAGTGGTCTAGCTTACTACACACCTAGGCTACATGGTATATAGCCTGTTGCTCCTAGTCTACAAACCTGTGCAGCATGTTACTGTACTGAATACTTAAGGCAGCTATATAACACAATGGTAAGTATTTGAGTATCTAAACATAGAGAAGATAGAGTAAAAATATGGTATAAAAGGTGGAAAATGGTACAGCTCTGTATGGCACTTTCTATGAATGGAGCTCGCAGGAACTGAAGTTACTCTGAGTGAGTCAGTGAGTAAGTAGTGAGTGAATGTGAAGGCTAGAACATTACACTAATGCAGACTTTATGAACACTGTACACTTAGGTTAAACTAAATTTATAAAACAACATGAGATTAAATCAAACACAAGAGAAAATTATGCAATCAAGAGATGCAGAAACATGAGATGTATGAGGTTGCTGCAGGCCTGATGGCATATGTTTTACAGCAGACGTCTGTAAGTAGAAAGAATGCTCTGAAGTAATAAAAAGTATAGTATAGTAAATACACATAAACCAGTTACATAGTGGTTTATTATCATTATCAAGTACTAGGTACTGTACATAACTGTATGTGCTATGCTTTTATATGACTGACCGTGCAGTCGGTTTGTTTACACAAACATGTGAGTAATGTGTTGTGATATGAGGTTATAATGGCTATGGTGTCACTAGGCAATAGGAACATTTCAGCTCTATTATAATCTTGTGGGACCAACATTATATTTGCGGTCTGTTGTTGACCCAAAGCTCATTATGTGACATATGACTATAAATCTGTAATATAATAAATTGTGAGTGTGTGTGTAATGCTTGTCATATTGGTTAGTATAGTTTCTAAATAGTGCTTTTACCTGTCTTTATACATTTTTTTAAACATTTAAATCTCACTAAGAAGTTGATAGATATGTTAAAGTTTTGCCCATGGTATTACAGATTATTTACCATAAAGTTTATTTTACTTCTTTCATTAACAGTCTTTTGTTGAATTCAACATAATGATGATTTCCCAATTTAAGACATGAAATGGAAAATTAGTAAAATATACTTTTTCCTATATAGAACCTTATCAAAGAAACTTAATTTAACTACATTACTCCAAATTTAAAAGTAGGCAGTTTTTAAAAAAATAAGTGTGAATTGATAGTGTCTGAGCTCTTTTGAGAATTTTCATGTGAAAGCCATTCTCAAATACTAGATTGCATAAGGTGACTAATTTTGGTTTTGATTCAATATATGTGCCATTAACTATATTTCTCTAGCAGTTGGAAAAATGCGTGGATGATGCTTTAAGAAAAAATGATTTCAAACCTTTGAAAACACTTTTACAAATTGATATTTGTGAAGATGTGAAGATTAAATGCAGCAAACAGTTTTTCCACAAGTTGGATGATCTTATATGCAGGGTAAATATTTATTTTTGTTGAATGTTAAATGATTGTTAAAATTATTAAATAGCAGTCTACTTTCCAGGAAGAAGTATTCCATTGGAAGAAATAAATAAAAAGGCTTTGGCAAGCTTGCTTATAATCATATAAATAAGTGCTTATTTTACCACTTGCTTTTTCTTTTAATTTGACAAGCTCCAAATAACATTGCACCATTTTCTAAATAAAAAGATTCAAATAACTGTGTTTACAGAGTTACCACTGGTGAAAAATAGTTTACCTGTTGGAAGTTTAAACAACTTGATCTATTTTTAAAAAACCTATCAGCATATTCTGCATATTATATAGACAATGCTTGGTGCTTGCAAATAAAAAAATTATCCAAAACCTCGGATTTGATTTATCATATGTAAGGCAGGTTTATATGCAAGAAAATGTGACTATTAACAATCTCTCCCAGTATTTGAGATTTGCTTTGACTGAAAGATTGCGTAAAAATTTCTTCTGTTAGATAGATGGAGCTTTTTAGAATGGAAGGTAACTGTGTATCATAGTCTAAAGCTTCTTGAATTTATACAGATCTGCATTTCTTTTTATCCTCACCGAGGGCTTTTTTTTTTTTATTGATGAGAGAGAGAGAAACATCAGTTGGTTGCCTCCCATATGCACCCTGACTAGGGATGGAACCCACCACCTAAGCATGTCCTAATCAGGAATCAAACCCACAGCCTTTTGGTGTATGGGACAATGCTCCAACCAACGGAACCGCCTGGCCGGGGCCAGATCTGCACCTTTGTACTGAGTTTGTCACTGACTGACTTTAGGCAAGTTGCTTTTTTTAAACCACATTTTGTCTTTTGTCCTTGAAGATTATGATCATGACTGACTTTCAGCATTTGTAAGGATTATAAAGCTTCTAGCACAATGCCAGTTCCACACTATTTTGTGTTAATAGATGTTTAAATGTATACTTTTCATTTCAGGAACTTAATAAAAAGGATATCCAAACTGTTTCAATCATTTTGATTTCTTTTGGAAGATGTAGCAGAAATATCAGTATATTGGGGCAAGTTGGACTTCTAACTTTGATAAAACAAGGACTAGTCCAAAAGATAAGTATAGAATGTGTAACATTCATGTGAGGGAAATATTATTAAAGGTGTGCTTCTAATAAATGGTTCAAACTGTTGAAAAATAAATTTGGCTACTTTATGTAAAACTTTGAGTTAAAATATTTTTATAATCTGTACAAATGTTTATAAATGTTACAAAGATAAAGATCACAAGGAAACTATACACAGGCTCCTTAATAATCATATAAATTTAAGGTCATAGGACTCCCCAGGGACTTTACGTGCTTTATTTTCTCTTTAGCTCATCTTAATCACTATCTGACTTTATTATTTTTTTATATTTATTTTCTGTCTCCATGCTAGAATGTAGCATATTTGTTTTTGTTTTGTTCATTGCTGTATACCCAGTTCCGGGAACAGTGTCTGAGACACAGTTTAATACTCAAATATCTGAATTAAAGTAAAAAAAAAATACCAAAAATTTTCAAATAGTAACACTGCCAAAATAATCTAACTTGTGATAATTTATTTTCATCTATTATATGAATGTACCTGAACTAGGAGTTTGAAGGGGGAGATAAAGGTCTTCTACCTGGAATTAGAATTAACTTTCTCCATTCCCATCCAAACAACGGGAAAATAGAGTGCGTTCCCAAAAAACAAAAACAATGATGATGTTTGAAAGCAAAATTTATTTTGATACAAAACTGGAATTTTAATTTTTGTTATTTATTTATTCCTAGGTTTACTGTTTATACAAAGATAAGTACATTCTCAAAATTGAATTTAGAATAACTAGTATATACATTTTTCTTTACATGGTTGCCTGGTTTGAAAAATCCAAGGAGATAATTCTGAGTCGAGGAAATTCAAAAGATGAAGCTGTTATAAATATGATAGAAGACTTATTTGATCTTTTGATGGTAAAATCACATTGATTAACTGTTGTTATAAAGTATGTGTTTATTTAAAAACAATTTGTGTTCTATATGCCTTGAGACTAAAAAGTCACTAACAGATTGGTTTGTGACTTGGTTGGATTAACCTATTCAGATTGTATAAAACATTTATCCCGAGTAATATAATTAAATAATTAGTACTGATGTGGTGAGTTCAAATGTAATCTGTTATTTTAATACTATTTGTAATGGTTTATAATATAAGATAGTAAATTATAAATATTATTCACTTTTCAGGTCATATATGGCGTCAATGATGAAGGTATAATAAACATTTTATTTTTATGGAACAGTAACTTGCAGTTAGAGTTTTAGTATAATTTTGCAATTCTCATAGCATTTTCCTAATATTGGGACTTCATTATCTAATTCAGGGATCAACGAAATTTTTCTGTAAAGGGCCAGATAATAAATATTTTAAGTTTTGTGGGCCAAGAAAAAAAATCAAGGACAACATGTAGGTACTGTATCAAGAAAAAAAAAAAAATTTGCACAAACATTCTATTGATGCAATTCAGAACATCATAATTGAGCACTATGTTTTTGTAACAGGTATACTAATGTGGAGAATAACACTTTTTTGAGGGGATGATATTTCACTTATTTAGGTTCAAAGTTAGTTTTTGTTCTTGTCAAAATTGATTACAAATGTTCATTTTTTGATGCTTATCTGTAATGAGATTTTGTGTATATTGCATTAGAAAATGTCAGATACCAGTTTATAAGCATGATTTTTAATTGAACATATTCATCACTTGGAAAGCATTTATAGAATTATATTAGGTTATTTTCATAATATTTGCCTTTTAGGATGTCATTGCATTGAAGATTAATCACTTTCAACTGAAGGTTAGGTAGAAGCTCTTCAGTTGCACAATTAAATAGATTTTGACATATGGAAACTTTCCCTTGCACTTACATCAACATCCAAAAATGCTGCTGGACCTGGAATTGGAACTTGGAAAAAAAAAAATCCCCTATAAATGTATGTAGGAATGGAGATGTCAATTCTTGTTTTAACTTTTGACAACCCAGGAAGTACAGAAAACATTTTGGCATTACTTGTGATGCAGATAGTGTTAGTGTCATTGAAATGACTCTACTGAAGTATAAGTTTCTTATATAGCATGATTTTGCCTTGTAATATTGGGTTGAATTCATTGAGAAACATTATCAACTCTGCAGCACAAGCTATTACCAAAGTCATTCACTGATAACATGATAGCTAAGTTCATGAGAGTGAATGAAAGTTACCTTGATTCTGCTGGTTCAATAAAACATGATAAATTCAAACATTTCCACTGAGTACTTGCTGATGAATAATACAGGCATACAGAAATGTGCAGTGGGTTGAATTTGGTTCCTGGGCCAGAGTTTGCCAACCCTTGAGCTTAAGGGAACAAAATTTTCAATAGTCTACTAAGAACTCTTCCTTTCACTTATGGCTAGCAGGTGTCTTGTGGCAAGCAGTCAGTCCAGGTTATTTTTATCTTTGTGTTGCTTGAGGAATAATTACCTAGGATTGGTACTTGAGGCTGGTGAATTATTCATACATAAAGAAACAGCTGCTATTTGCTGCCTTCAGAGCCAAAATGTTAAAGATCAGTTGCTGTTTTGTTAGCTATAATTTAATAAAAATTAATGAAGTAGATTTCCCTATAAGACAGAAAAGCTAATTTAAGACTTGCTTTTTATGTAGTCACCCTATCAAAATAAGTTTACATTTTGCAAAAGAGTTTTATTTTATTCCCCAGGTGTTTTTTTTAACATTTTTTGAAAATGTCTTTGAAAGACCATATGTACTTTTAGTTGAACTACTACTACACAGAATAAATCATATGTGATAATTGCGAATTACTTAGAGATGAAATTCTAGGCCCTTGATCATCAGCCAGATGTGGTGGTCAGATTTCAAAATCATTACTATGTCCTTGAGACCCAGCCTCTCTCACCTCGTTTGGAGACAGTGTCCCCTTGATCGCTGCTCTCTTTGCTGTTACTTCGCTCTGTGTTAGCACTTGTCATCTCCTCTCATCAGAATGATCTACGTTGGATATACTCATGGCTTACTCTTGAATTTATTCAGGTCTTTGCCCAAAAACCCACTTTGAAATAGCCTTCCTAAACAATTTTCTCTAAAATATACCTATGCATCACTAAAAAAATAAATTGCTGTTTATTTCAATAGTAGTTACTGCTAACTTTTTCAATGATTTCTTGGCAATCTAGTCTGAATTCTTAAATTTTTTAGGGGAGAAAACAGTCTTAAACCACCAGTGATAAGTGATTTAACAGGTTTTTATAAAGTAAATTATTATATCTTTTCCCCTAATGGAGTACATTTTTTTCAGCATGGTCACTTTGGAAGGTTCTGTTATAGTATTGCCATTTTTAAAATTTGCATTATGAAATAGCATGTGGAAAATTTCTTTTAATATATTTAGTATTGATAAAGACCAATCTTTTGAGAATAGGGTTGACTTTTAGGAATAGCTCAGTTATTGATGGCTATTATGGAATTTTTGAGTATTACTATTAATAAGGCCAGTTTCCTAAAAACCTCAATATAAAAGTTTATACTTTTGCCGGGCCGGGCATGGCTCAGTGGTTGAGCGTCAGCCTAGGATCCAGGCGATCGGGGTTTGATTCCCAGTCAGGGCACATGCTCGGGTTGCTGGCTCAATCCCCAGTCGGGAGCGTGCAGGAGGCAGCCGATCAATGACTCATCATTGATGTTTCTATCTCTCTCTCTCTCCCTCTCCTTTCCTTTCTCTGAAATCAATAAAGATATATATCTATTTTTAAAGTTTACACTTTTGAATTATATTTCATCCAAAAATAGTGCCTTATGTGCCTGAAAGGAAAGCTGGGTTTGGATTCCTTTGCCAGAATTAAATCGGTCACATCTGTTGAATGGTTTTGTGTGTTTTTCCCCAAAGCCACATAGCTAGTTAGAAGCAGAACCAGGACTGAATTTTATGCTTCCTAATGCCCAGGCCAGTCAAGTGGACCTTCTTCTAAACTGAACTAATACTTCTTTACATTAACTTATAAGTAAAGATTGTCATTTAAAAGAATTGAAAATGCACATTTATCAATAATTGTAATACTTTTATTCAGGTAAAAAGCAAGTAGTGGAAAGTTTCATACCTCGAGTTTGTGCCCTGATTATTGACTCCAGAGTGAATATTTGTATTCAGCAGGAGGTAAGTCATCCTTTAGATTTTCTTTTGAAACCTAAAAATGAGAAAGTGAAGAAAATTTGGTAGCAATTTATCCAGTTGAAAAATCATTTTATCTTGACACTAAATTACTTATCATGTAGTATATATCTATTGTCTTAGCAGTTCATTGCTTGACAGGATGAATATGTTACCTAAATGTTTATTGAAAATGTATAACCATACTGGTTTATGTACACATATGGCTCATATAAAAATAAATTATACCATCTAGATATTAGGAGTTCTTAAGTATTTAAATGCTAAAAATAATCTAATAATGTGTAGATGTGTGTACATTTGTATAACCATAAGAATAAATATTAATGTAATATTTTTACCTTTCTAGTTCTTAAAGTGATAATAAACGTATGTCATATTGCAGAGTATTACTGCTATAAGTACAGAAACCATAGCATATTCCTTTTTTAATTTTCTGTGTTTTATGTTTTGTTTGCATTCACTATTTTATACTTTATAGTCTTTACCCTTCTCCATTCCCTGCATAAGATGTTATGATTAAGAAAAAAATAGCCTTCTAAATTTATATACCTAGAGTATTTTTCTAAATCCCTGTTTCACTGAATATAAAATATTAATGGATTATCTTTTTTTTCTTTTCTAGACACTAAAAAAAATGAATGCTATGCTTGACAAAATCCCTCAAGATGCCAGGAAAATACTCTATAATCAAGAAATGTTAATTCTCATGTAATAATTTGTACTATATTGCTTTTAATTAGTGGTTCAAGTCAAGAATTTAAAGGATGTTTTATATGGCAGTTGGGCAACCATGAGTGGCATTAATAATTAAAATGGATAAAACTGTTGTAGGTTTCTAATGTAATTTATGGATATAATTTCTGCAAAAGTGTATGATACTAGCCAATTGTACATTTTAGTGAAGCCCTTTCCCCAACATATGGGCTTTCTATTTAATTGATACTAGTCTAGTATATAATCTGTTGTTTTGATTTATAGGAATAGTATGGGAGAAAGGATTTTAGATGCTGGAGGTAAGTTTTTTCAAAATATTTATATTTGAAGTTATTACACATTTAATAGAAAGTATCATTTTAGTCAAAATATATTAACATTGTAATGTAATGAGATTATGTGAGGGAATTATAAACTGTATGGTCAAGCAATTTTACTTTAATAAGTAATTAAATGATAAATATTTGTGGGACTGAAATAATAATTAAGCATGACAGTAGGAGTTGTTAAATATAATTTGTACCTAAATAGTAGATTTATGAATAATAACTTAATTTTCCAATAGATTTTAATTACTTTTGCTAAGAAATTCTCAAATGGTATTTTGAGAAGTTGGGAGGTTAAATATTCTTGGGATTGATAGACTTATTTTTAAACAATTTGTTTATTAAAAGAACTCAGATTTTCTTTCCTAAATTTCATATGAGAAAATTGTGATGTAATGATTTACCTGTGGAATAAACCACTGGCTTGAAGTGCTTTGAGATAACCTTAAGTACCCTGCTACACCAAAGGAAAACAAAGGCTCTGATTCGTAGGCTGTTGTGTGAGTTACTTCATAGTTGACAGCTCTGATAATAACAGTGTCGAAGTCTGAAGGTGTAGGAGTCTCTTCTGAATACCCTCTAAAACATTTGTACTCTTGCTAGTGAGTAGTTTTGTTCCTTGGGCTGTATTCATTCCCGAGTGACGAGCTAGTTCTCTTCATACGAAGAAAATGGCAAGTAAACTATGCTAGTGTTTTCTTTATCTTGCTTGTTCTAATACTGTATAAAATATATTGACTTTTATATTTTCATAATTTCAAATAACGCATTAACTTTTTTTTTCAAGATTATGACTTACAAGTAGGTATAGTGGAGGCTTTATGTAGAATGACAACAGAAAAGCAAAGACGAAAACTGGCGTGTCAGTGGTTTTCAATGGATTTTATTGCTAATGCGTTTAAAGGAATTAAAGACTCTGAATTTGAAACAGTAAGTAGTATAAAAATAAATTAAAAATAGTTTTTTGAAAATTACTATGCTTTTTTTAATACATATTTTTTATTGTTGACATTATTACAGATGCCCCCCATTTTTCCCCTTTCTCCCCCCTCTCTCTACCCCCACCCCAGGCCTTCATCCCACTTTTGCCTATTTTCTTGGGGTATGCATATAAGCATGTAAGTTCCTTGGCTAATCTCTCCCAGTTCCCCCCTCCTCCCCTCTGAGATTTGTCAGTTTACTATGCTTTTTAAAAGTCTCTCTTTTTTAAACAAATTAGGATTGCAGGATTTTTCTCAACCTTGTAAATGGCATGCTTGGAGACAAGAGAAGGTAAGCTTAATGCAGATGATTTAATCCTGGGAATAAGCATGTAAAGTTCAGTGATGTAAATTTTTATCACTTTGATGACGACAGAAGAGCAGAGTGCTTGCAGTGCTTGGCACCTTATAGGTGCTCAGGACACACTGGATGTCTGAGTTCACACTTACTTTACTTACTAAGGAAATGAAAGATAGGGTGAAGGGTAAGTGCAAGGAGTCATGCTATTTGGATTTGAATCATAAGTTTCCCTCTCCCTATTCTAACACTGGGCAGATTATTTAACCTTACTTGACTGTTTACTTAGCTGTAAAATAAGAATACTGATAATACCTACTTAATATGTTTGTTGTGAGGATTAAAGGAGATAATTATATGATAGAACTTATAATCATATCTGACCAAGGAAGTACTCACTGAATTCAGCCATTTTCATTAGGAGTATTCACTTCTATTCCCATCTAAGTTCTGTGGGAACTTGCATTGTATTAATAGTACAAGTGAAGATAGGAATCTCTGCTTAGAGTTGATAGCATGGAATGACTTCAGTCAAAATGGTAGGTTAAGTAATATCCTCAATGTAATATGCTTTCTCTACAGAAACAAATTTCCATTAAACTCATTTAAAAAGTAATAAAGGAGGTATGATTTTATTTAATTTGTTATGATCACTGATTGATTTTCTTCTGATCCTAGGCATGATTTCTCTGGCTACTCAAGTTTATGCTGTTGTAAAGGCCTATTAATTTTTTTTCTTACCTCAAAATTTTTATTTCAGGGTCTTTACATTTCCTTGTTTATCAGCATTTCTTGATAAATATGAGGTAAGTTTTCAATTTAACGTATGTTTTAGTTATTGGATGGATTTTGATGCAAGAATCAAGTGAATTACAGATTAAAAATTGACAAGAACATTAAAAATAGTAATAATTAGATCACAAATACAGCTGATCTAGCACTCTATATCTCAGAGACATTTTATAACATGACATACTTATAGCCAAGGATAAATGAAATACAAAGGCTGTATTTCAGAATTTTTTCTGTTTCCTTATTCAAGTTCATTATTGATTTATCATTCATGAATATTTTCAAATTAATACTTTCAACATTTATTTGCACTTGGAATATTCGTGATTGCTTGGAGCTAGCTAATTTCTGTGTATGATACTAAGCAGCATTTTTTAATTCTAAATTGATTTTTTTTTTTAATATATCTATTGATTTCAGAGAGAGGAAAGGAGAGGGAGAGAGGGAGATAGAAACATCAATGACGAGAGAGTCATTGATCGGCTGCAGCCCACAACACGAGCATGTGCCCTGACCAGGAATCGAACCCCGATCTCCTGGATCCTAGGTCGACGCTCAACTGCTGAGCCACGCCCGGCCGGGCTCTAAATTGATTTAAATGCAGTACTTGTCTCCTCTATGTTCCCTCACCTTCCAGCTATACTCTTAAAAAAAAAAAAAATCAGCTTTTAATTACATGATCATAATTCTCTGTGGTCACTTTTAATAGCATAGGATTTATTAGTTTCATATGTTTATTTTATTAGCTGCAAATACCATCAGATGAAAAACTTGAGGAATTTTGGATAGATTTTAATCTTGGTAGCCAGACCCTATCATTCTACATTGCTGGAGATGATGTAAGTTTTATTCCCTCTGTACTATTTTATATGTATATATATATAAAATGTCTTAATTCAATTTAAGAATGTAGATTTCATTGTATATTTTTGTAGCTATTTTAATATGGTAATGTAGCAAACGAATTAGAAATGAAAACTATTTCTGATTTATTGCAACAGAAAAATTAATGCTAAATTTTAATATGTTTTTTAACAAGCTTTTCAGAAATAAGTTACATGTTAATGTCAGATAAAATTTAACATTCACATGAATAAAGTGAATTGAATCTAGAAAAAAACAACAGTTACTGAAATAAAGAGGCCCTCTGAAATAACATTAACAGATAATGATAAGTGGCCATACACAGAATCCTCTGAAAGTAGTAAGGAGCTGATTCTTATTGTACATTTGGAAGTGAATTTTGGTTCTTTTCTGTCTGTGGTATATTGTAGCTATGTTTAGACCCTCCAACCAGGGTGGTATATTTTCTACTGACCTCTTTTTAACCTGAGAAAAAGTCTTGAGCCTTTGTTTCTAAATAGCTGCTACTTAGCATTTGGTACTTTGGGATACTTTAGCTCAAACTGTATAATCACTTTGCCAAAATCTGAGTAAGAGTTGATCTGCATTTACTAATCTAATTGTGGCACTGATATTACAATGAAGCTTTAGTCCTTTTGGTCAGTCTCTTATAAAATCCTTCCTTTTTGTTCCAGTTCAACTCTTAAGATGAACATTAATCAATATTCTTAGGCTTTCCACACACCTTTATTTCTTTTTATTTTATACTACTTCTTAGACTGCTTAATTAAAATGAAGTCCCAAATACTACCACTGTTTCTCAGGGGCACTGACAGTTTTCATTAGTATATTTATTCCTGCAAGATTTGTAAGAATATTTTTAACTGAATTTTCTTCAGAAACTGGACTTCCATTTTGGTGGAAGAGGGCAGAATCGTATTGATGTTGTGCCTTCACTCAGCTTGGTCATTGGATGATTCAGACAAGAAAATAAGCAAGATAGTATGAAATATGATTGGGATAGTATAGAATGCATTTATAAGTATTTAATGTCTGTTATGTTCTAGGCACTGAGCTAGAGATGCTGGGAGATTCTTCTCAAAAATACAATATTTAGAATCCTCTCTCCTCTGGATTTCTGTAGCAGTAGTACATTGTCCCTGTAGTCTCTCTTACTAGAAGCCATTCTACATAGAGTGGCTGCTTAAAATCCTTCTTTTGTCTCTTTATTATGGCATATGAGGGTCTTTATGATCTGGCCCCTGGCTATTTCTGTGACACCTCAGACCATTCTTTGCGCTTACTGTGTTCCAGCACATTTTATATTTTTCTGTTTCTATAATACAGATTATGCCCATTTCAGGTCTTCTGCTTAGAAACTTCCTCCAGATCTTTGTATCTTAGTTCCTTACCACTTAGATTTCAGCACAAAGATCACCTCTTTATAAAAGTATTCTTTGGTAACTCAACCTAAAGTAGACTCCCAGTCACGTCACAACACATTGTCCTGTTTTATTTTCTTTATAGTAGTTATTTCTACTTAAAGTCACGGTGTTTATTGTTTATTTGTTGTCTCTTTTCTCCCTATTGAATGTAAGATTCATGAAATCTGGGACCCATCTTTCTCATTTGTAGCTATCCATATTTATTACAAGAATGAATAAATAGAATATTCAAAGAACTGAAAGATTCGTGGTATGGTTAGTGCAAGAGCACAGAGGAGGACTGGAAAGAATAAGGCAGTGTGAAACCAAAGAAGGGTTAAAAGAATGAGGTAACATCAATTTAATGAATATTAAGAACTATGTGCCAGAAATGTGCTAGGCATTGAGGACCACATTCATGTAAAAGATTCTCCTGGTGGAGACAAGATTAAAAACTGACAAGACTGGAAGCAGTTAGGAGAATTGCAGTAATCCAGGTGAGAAACTTTGGTGGCATAGTTTTGGAAACTAACAGTGGAGGATGGATGGAAAATGGATAGATTCCAGGAAACTTGAGAGGAGGCAGAATTGAGCAGATTTGGTGATTTGTTTGTAGTAAAAAGAGGAAGGATTACTGGGTAACTGGATGGTTGGGGATGCTTTCACAGGAGGATACGTTTTGCAGGGGAAAGGTGATGAGTTCAGGTTTGATTTGGAGATACTCGTGGTATATTTAGCTGGGGATATCTGGGAGGCAGTTGGTTAGACTGGTCTGAAGTTCAGGTAAGGGAACTGAGACTTAGTAGAGATTTAGAAGGTATCTATATATAGATGATAAATAAAATCATGAATTTAATGAATGCCTAGATGACAGAACTGTGAAAAACACAAATTTATACAGGGTAGGTAGAAGAGACTCTCATCCACATGATACTTGAAGAATCAGCCAAAAGGGAACACAGTAAAAGGGTATGTTATAGGAGGCAAGGGAAAGGTGTTTGCATGAGGGGGAATGAGCAACACTGTCAAAAATATTATCAACAAAAGAGCAGTTTCACTTAAGAGACAAGGCTGCAGGCATTCTTGGAAAGCTCAACATAGAGGAGGTAAGACAGCAAGTTAAGGGAAAGAGCACAGTAATAGCTCAAGTGTGGTGTGGATTCAAAGGAAGGGTTTTTGCTAGATACTTCATTTTAAGGATAAGAACTTCTTAAAATTGATGACTGGGGTGATAGGTTAAATAAAAAATTGACACCAAGAGGAAGAGAGTATAATGGAGGGAGAGTAGAGGGTGAAGATGAAACAAGATGGGCACAATATATTGGTAACTATTGAAGCTAGGTAAGCACATATTTTGGGTTCGTTATATTATGATTTCTACTTTTTAAAAATCTGCTTGAAAATTTTCATAATATTAAAAGTAAAGGAAGGCAGTGAACCTGGTGCCTCCATATACAAGGAAGAGTCATTTTGAAGTTAGATGTTATCATCCAGTAGGTAGGTACTGGCACAGAGTATGTCACCTGGCATGGGCCTCAAAGGAGCGAGTTTTCTTTTTCTTTTTTTTTAAATATGTTTTTATTTATTTCAGAGAGAGGAAGGGAGAGGGAGAGTCATTGATCGGCTGCCTCTTTCACACCCCCTACTGGGGATCGCCTGGAACCCAGGCATGTACCCTGACCGGAAATCGAACCGTGGCCTCCTGATACATGGTTTGATGCTCAACCACTGAGCCACACTGACTGGGCGAAGGAGCAAGTTTTTTACACACAAACAGAAAGCTGCTCAAAGCACTGGGGAGAAATGATTCTAACCCTTTCCTCCTGACCCAGAAGAATTAGCACCTTAACTGAAGAGAATAATAAATGGTAGCGTTGCCATCAGAGGATAGACTGGTTTCAGTTAAGGAGAATTTCTATAGAATGAGCATAAGTTGTCCTTATTACTAAAAGACTGGACATATTTTTCTCACAAGATTACTGGAAGGTTTTAGGATCCTATCTCTTAGGAATGATATCTAATGTTCACCATGACTTTTTTGTGAATTCAGTGTTTTATCTAGTTATACAAATTTTCAATCAAAGTACTTGGAAGGGAAAAGACATTTTAGTTTATTAGTGTGCATTCAATGTTTGAATCTAAAGACAGTAAGTGGGAATTGAGAAATTTGTATTTCACAGAACATTTCCAAGGAAGAAATGACAGGATTTGATAACATTTTAAAAAAAGTATCATCAAATAAATATTAATGAACAGTCACTCTTTTATGGTCAAGAATAGGAAACCATAAAATTAATACCATTATTTCCTTTTAGGAGTGAAACAAGTCAATTAATTGTGACATGTGTAATGTATTATTCAATAAATTGATGGAGCAAGAAATATGTTATATCAACTGGTTACTTAGTAGTAACCATTGTTTGCATAACTGAAAATGGTAATTATAGAAGCTTTGAAGCAGGAATAAATTACTTGTTTATGGTCAAAACCTGTTTTTAAATTTTAAGGATCATCAGTGGGAAGCAGTCACTGTACCTGAGGAAGAAGTACAAATATACAACATTGAAGGTATTAATCATGTTTTCTATAATTCTCTTCTTGATTCATGGAGTACAAGTTGTATGCTCTTTGGGAAAACAAAATAGGCTAATGAAAGCAAAGTCAACATTTTCATTATGCTCACCGTCATAAATTTCATAGTTACATTTCCTCCTCCCACAATCTCCCAGCTCCCTCCTGTACTTATTTCCTCTCTGTCTAGTCTACAGCCCATGAGCAGTCACTTTCTTGTTAGTATGTTCAAGGCCGTTGCCCTTCCATCCTATTTTTTTCAATTAGATCCAAACATCTGATTACCCACTTACACAACTAGAACTGCATAACCCTGCTGGACAAAAGCAGACAACTTGGCAGACTGGTACCACTGCAGATTCAGATATCAAGACCTGTTTGTCATTGCAGNCACAACTAGAACTGCATAACCCTGCTGGACAAAAGCAGACAACTTGGTAGACTGGTACCACTGCAGATTCAGATATCAAGACCTGTTTGTCATTGCAGTGGGCATCGAGTGGAGCATCATAATAGTACTTATTTGTATTTCCCTAATGACCAGTGATGTTGAGCACTTTTTCATGTGCGTAGTGGCCATTCACGTGTCTTCCTTTGTGAAGTATTTGTTTAAATATTTTGTCCATTTTTTACTGGACTGCCTTCTTTTCCTAAGTTTCCGAGTTCTTACACACACTAGATACCAATTCTTTGACAGATATGTGTTCCATGAGTATTTTTCTCCCAGTCTGACTCTTGCTTATTTTCTTAGTGGGCATTATGAAATGACCCTATTTTGCCTATGGTAATACTATTTGCTCTGCAATCTACTTTATGTAACATTAATATACCCTTCTAGCTTTCATTGGTTAGTTATAGCATTAAATATATTTTCTTTTTAACTTATTTGCGTGTGTGTTTAAGAATCATCTATACATATATAGTGGGTTTCTGGTAGGTATGATATACTGACTCTTGTTTTTTAAATGTAATTTGTAATTCTTAATGCAATTATTGTTATACTTTAAATTTACCACCTAACTCTTGTAAAAACCTGCCATTCCACCTACCATGTTTCTTTTTTTCTCTTCCTTTATATTAATTGATTTTTAAAATGATTTCATTGTATCTCATTTGTTGGCTTTACCCTTTTTAGTGGTTGATTTAGGGTTTATTAGATACATCTTTAACCTAATAGTGTGTATGTTCAAGTAATATTATACCCCTTTATGTATAGTATAAGAACCTTGTAACAGTATACTTTTAAAATAGTATAGAATGTTTCCTCACTCAATTTCTTTTTATATTGTGGGGGGGGGAAATGTATAACATAAAATTTACCATCGTGACAATTTTTAAGTGTATAGTTCAAAATGGTAAGTATATTTACATTGTTGTGAAAAGGATCTCCAGAACTTTTGTCATTTTGCAAAATACTCAGGGAACATATATCCACCCAGCCACTGGAAACCACCATTCCACTTTTTGTTGTATGAATTTGACTTTTCAGTGGAATTAATCTTCATTTCTAAAACCTGAAAACTTAATGTTGAAACTCATGACTCCCCCCCCAAAAAACCCACCAGCAGTGTTTGAGTTAGAAAGTGTTGCCACTATCTTCAAGCAATTAATAATTCTTAGTTCCATCAAAGGACATTACTGTGAAAGTTTCATGACCGTATAGTTGCAAAAGCAAGTAAGACATTTTCAGCTGTGTAAGCCTCATAAGAATCTGAGTATTCAAACCTGTGGGGACATTTGTCCTTTAGAGTAGGTCACTGAGTGGCCAGCAGAGCGTTTTCTGATATAGAGACAACTTTTTCTACCTGGTGTGGTCCTTCTTCCTGAAGATGTTTTCCTCCTGCCCAAAAGTGTACACAGGGGGCAAGTGTGGAGTCTTCTCAGACAGCAAGAAGAACACCACTGGATGTTGGACAGGGCCAGAGTGGCCGTTAGTCGGTAATATAGGCATAGTCATTGGGTGCCAGGTAATCTTTTGATGACTTTGTGCAGGAAGGGAGGTGAATACTTCCTATAAGCTGGCACTTACAGTATTTCACTGGATTGATAAATGCTTTGAAGGTTAGTGCTATAGCCTTATCTCACAATTTCCTAGCACTCATGTTTTTATCAAGTGCTGTTTATTTACTGTTATAATATTTGTAACTACTGTGGATTTAAGAGGAATGTTTGAACAGATGCTTATGCACAGAAATATATTTATGGAATTAGCTATTTTCTTTGTTGCCTCTTTTAAATTAAGAAAATAGTTTTCTCAGATCTGTTCAAGGAATATTTATTAAGAACCTGTTAGTGTCCAGAATGAATTCATGGCTTTAGCTCATTAGTATTGTATTGCCCTGTAATTTATAGATCAGGAAACTGAAGCTCTGAAAAATAAATTCACTTAAAATTTTAAAAAATAAACTGACTTGATTTGTTTACATAGATACTACTAGAATTAATTTAAATACTGTGAAATCCTAAAAGTTAAGTTTATTAAATTTATTTTTATTAATATGCTGTATGCCTTTCTTATTTATAGTATACCTATAGAATAGTATCATAGAAATGAATATAAAGTAATCAGTGTTATTTGTTTGTTTACAGAGAGAGAATCAAAGAAGCTACTGACCATAATTCTGAAAACTATTTTAAGAATTAGTAACAGAGAAGGGAAAGAATTGCTTTTGTATTTTGATGCTTCATTAGAAATCACTAATGTGACACAAAAAATTTTTGGTGCAAATAAACATAGGGTAAGTGTTTAAACTGTTTTTAACAAAAATTCATTGTTTTCATATTCTGGAAACTTGGTTACTTGGGGTTATAAATGCCATTAATTTTTTTCCTAGAATTTTTTAAATGACATGTAGATTTTTAGTTCTTTATATTTGTATTGCGGAATAGCCGTCAGATTGTTGGGAATAGTCATACCCTTTGAGATCCCTATTAGGAAAAATCTCAGGTGATGAAATTAGCAGCAGCTACTGAAAACATTCAGTGAATTCCTTCCAGGTATTTTAAAAGTGAAATGAGACAAAGCCCTATTTTCAAGATAGTAAATATAGTTTGTGAGAATTATAGAATATACCTCAGAAGACGTAAATAAGTGGCATAAGGAAAATGAAGTGCAGAAGTTGAGCAAAGAGAATGCTCACTAGGGGTCAGATTTGAAGGAAAGGCTGTAGAGATGGGGTTTGAATGGCCTTTGAAGTTGGTGGATAAAAGTAGGTACGATCCTTTCCAAGACATTATGAGTTAGATATGTTTAACTAGGAAACTAGGGTGACAATTCATGTTATGTTTGGGGTAGATCGTCTGTAGATGAGTTTCGATAGTGCATAGACTAGGTGGCTTAAACAACAAACATTTATATCTTACTGTTCTGGAGGCTGGAAAGTTCAAGATCAAGGTACCAGCGGATTTGATGTCTGATGGGGCCCTTTTCCTGGTTCATAGTGGCCATCTTTTCACCGGGTCCTCACATGGTGGGTAGAAAGGGTGAGGGAACTCTCTTTGGGCCTCTTTTATTAAGGTACTAATCCCATTTATGAGGGTGCTGAGTCGGTTACCTCATCACCTCCCAAAGGCCCCACCTCCTCACACCATCACATTAGGGGTTAGGTTTCAACACGAATGGGGGAGGGTACATTCAATCTGTACAGCGCAAAAGGTTCATGGGGGCAAATGGAGACTATTTGTGAGCAGCCCTTACCAAAATGGGCTGAGGAGACTGGTTAGTGGGGAGCCACTCAAGTGTTCTGAGGAAGGTATTTACATATAAAATAATGACTTGAGATAATTTGGCAATTTTGAAAGGAAATAGGTAGGAAATAATTGCGTTAAAATGGAAAGAGCTAGAAGAAAATGATATCACTTTGAATTAATTTAATTTTAGGAATTTACCAGAAAACAGGGTATTTCAGTTGCCAGAACATCTGTGCATATACTTTTTGATGCAAGTGGATCACAGGTATGTGTCTAACTTACTTGATTTTAATCATTGGACTATGTTTAGCTCAAATAATAGCACAATAATAAAGTTCATGTTGGAGGGTAACTGTCTAAAAAATAAATTGTCTCAACATGGATTGTGCTTCAGTAAGATGTATGTGATTTTGAAACATGTTATTAATGATAATTTATCTTAGTACAGGAGATATATATTAAGTTTTTAATCAGTACTGGTAAGTTTTGGTAAGTTTAAAAATTAGAAGTATATGTCCTTCCACTAATGCCGAAGCTTAAGTCTATTAACATTTGAAAAAGTGTATGCTTTAGTTGGGTTACTTTGTAGGACTAAAAATTAGAACATAGAAGATGGAAAGAATTGACCTTCGGAAGTGTGAGATGACTGGGCACTTTATTAATACATCTGGTGGTTTTTGAGCATGTCCTGTGGTTTGCAGTTTAAAATATTTATTCCACATTCTCCAATAGATTCTCGTGCCAGAAAGTCAGATCTCACCTGTTGCAGAAGAACTTGTTAGTTTGAAAGAAAAACCTAACTCCCAAAAGGAATTTGCCAAACCTCCAGAATACATCAAAAATAGTACTCAAGGGAGCAGAAAAAATAGTCAATCTGAGGTAAATATGGTGTCACAGAGTCATTTATAAAAGTACCAAAAACATAGATCAAATCATTTCTATATATAATTACAGAAAAAAGCATCTATAACATTTCAAAGTACTTTCCCTGCCTTTTACAAATAGAGAAGATAGTGTTTTAGCAAATTGTGTTTATATGTAAGAGTTGGAACAGGGTGGACTCTATGCTTGGAAATTCCAAGATAGAAATATATAGAAAAGGAATTGCCGCTTTTCCCATATGGCCTTTCTGTTCTCTGTTTCCCCTCCTTCTGCTCCATTGAAGATCTCCTTAGGCCACGTCCTGTAGAGCCATTTCTCAGCCCTCTTTGTCATAGCTTGTTGGGACACTTGACATTGCTAACAGCCCTCTCTTCCTTAGTGTCCTCCTGTTGTTTGTCTTCTATGTTAGTATTTTAATTCTCCACCTCCTTCTATTACTATATCAGAAATACTTTCTCTTCCCACCTCCAGAAAGTAGATTTGTTCTAAAAGCTTCATACCCAACATCTCTATGCTTTCTGCCTTAGCGAGCTTCCTTCTTGTGCATAATTTAAGCTCTTAAAGTTTTACAGCGACTTCTCACTTACTGTTGTAATATTTCCTTCTCCATGTCTCTTCAAGCCCTTTCCTGAAGTCTAACAGCAAACTCACCTCAAATTTGTATTGCCTCCACACTTTCATAACGCATCACTGATGATACCCTTGACTCCCATATCTACAAGCAAGGCGCTAGTGATGTTCCCGTAGTATCTCCCACATCCTCTCTGCCTCGTTCCCTCTCCATTACTCACTTTAACATGCCTAGATTAACATGGTAACCTCTTAATTGGTCTTTGACGACATTGTTTTATCGTTTGAGCTACCCTATATGGTAGACCACTGATTTTTTCTTAATATTCACATTTTCATTTTGCTCAGAAAACTTTGTGATCTGTGTTTATCTCACTCAGTCTAACTTTGACTCTGTTCTGAGACTACAGTTTTACTCTATGAAAATGCCCTTCACTTTGGGAACTTCAGTTTCTTTACTGTGTCTTTTTGTGTAATGCTGATTCTTGCCTCATTCCTTTATGTTGTTTGTTCCTGTTTTACCTTTACTCATCTAATATGTACTTACATTTGCAAGTCTTGGTTCATTTTCACCTTCTTCCCAGAGCTTTTCCTGCTTATTTCATTGTTTACTAATCTCTCAGGCAACTATAAATCTTGCAGGCTTTTCTATACATTTTGTCATGCTTATTACAATGTTTTCCTTTTAGTCTTGTGCCCATCATTAAATTAAAAATGTCATCTTATATTTCCCTTAGATGATTAAATCATAAAAGGTATTTCTGTGTCTATATCAGAATCGTAACTTGTGTACTTATTAAAATGTAGATTCTTAGACTCACCCACTTTATACCTACTGAATCACAAACTCTGGGAAAGATCTCAAGCACAGTAACACTTGAAAACATTGCACTCTTGTGAAATAGCCACTATGTTTTCAGTAATTTCAAAAGATACTGTGTGTTTACTGTGTGTGTTTCTCGTGGTTTAAGATAATTACTACTACCAAAAGAAAAATGTTTGAAGCCTCAATAAGGAATCACTGTTTGAAGCATTTATATGATTAACTGTTCAGATCCCATTCGCTATACCACTAGGAACTGCCATTTTTTTAAGGAAAATCTACTGGTTGGGTAGCTTGTTTTCTGCTTAATGTTAGAATCCCTTTTTCTGTACTCCCCCGCCTTTCTTCCATGTACTGTTATGCAGACCTACACAAAACTCCATCAGTGTTTTTTTCTCTGTGTTAGGGTCAGGTGCCTTTTTACAGATAGCTCCCCTCTGTCTTTATAGTTTGTCACCATCTACTACTTTATATGATACCCTCTGACACTCCTGTCCCATGTTGTCCCTGTCTCTGCTTATCTACTTCTGTGGCTCTTACCAGTCATTCCAGGATAAAGTTAAAAATGCAGATCCTCATCAGACCACTAGTTTGTGCGTCATTGAGTTTGTGAATTCCTGTAGCTACTTTTTACTCCAAACGCAGTTTAGTTTTCACAGAATATTAATGCAGTTTTTTCTTAAATATGGTTTTATTCACTTTAGAGAGAGGAAGGAAGAGGGAGAGAGAGATAGAAACATCAGTGATGAGAGAGAATCATTGATCGGCTGCCTCCTGCAAGCCCTCTGCTGGGGATGGAGCCCACAACCTGGGCATGTGTCCTGACTGGTAATCAAACCATGACCTCCTGGTTCATAGGTCGACACTCAAACCACTGAGCAACACTGGCCGAGCAATGCAATATTTTAAATGTGAGAAAGTTTCAGGCAATGCTTAACATGATGAATGCATTCACAAACAAGTTTACATAAATATGTATCTAAACATCATCTAGAGTAGGAAACTGAGCCATTGGTTAACTAGATAAACTCAGTATCAATTAAAAATCTTTTTTGTATGTCTAGGTGTTCTATAAATATTCTTTAAAATAATATTCCTTTCTTGTTTCAGCTATGTGTTCAATACCAAATATTAGGATAAAATTCTTAGTGAAAGTTGGCCTAAAACAAAGAAATTTCTGGGTATCATGTTTATAAAATGCCACATATCTTTTATGTATAGTCAAGGTAAATTGTTATGAACAAAATTATAGGATATTTAATTTCAAAAGATACTGTGTGTTTACTGTGATTGTTTCTCATGGTCTAAGATAATTACGCCTAGCAAAAGAAAAATGTCTGAAGCCTCAATCCTTGTTACTGGTGCAGAAATATACAACAAGAGAAGTCCATTACATTTAACCAACACATGTAAGTTTTATAGTCTTAAAAGACTTCTAATAACTGTTATTATATTTTCAATCAGGCCTTTTTAAATTCAGGGATATTCTGGACATAATTTACCTAGAGGATAAATTGGGGATATAAAAATTGAAAACTATGAATCACAAATGTCTAATTGTCAATAAATTTTAAATGTCTAAGAAAGGCTTAATGGGTATTGACATATGAATATTATTCAAAATATTAATATCCAAAATTAATAACTTATAATGTAAGCGGAAGCAGCATGGCATAGTGGGTAAAACATTGAATTAGGCCACTTGGGCTTGTTTCCCCACTCCCAACTGTGTACTCAGTACAGATTATCCTCTAGCTAAATTTAGAACCAGTTTCCTTTCTATAAAAGTTGTTTAGAGGTTTGAGTGAAAATCATTCATTCACATGACAGGGAATACTGTGAAACATTTGGACAGTACTTGTTACATACTAAGAGCTAAATAAAAATAAGCTGATATGGTATATTAGTTGCTATAAATACCATCTTATTTAATCTTTATGACAATTTAATAGTGATCTTCTGTTTCCAAAATCCAGTTGCCTCCTGGGCTGCTTTCTTATGTCCAACAGGCTCCTCAAACTTAGCAGGTCCAAGATAAGTTCATCTTTCCACACACCCCCCACCTCCCTGCCAGTTTTCTTCTCCATTTCTTACCTTGTTAAACAATATCCATATCCACTTACTCATCTAAACCAGAGCCCTGGGTCCCATCGTAAAACCTCCCTTTTTTAACCTTCCTTCTCTAAAGGGAACCTCGGTAATAGCCATGTGCAGTGTGAAAGCCCCACAAACCAACCAGCCCTTCCTCCTTTTTAGCAACATCAGGAAGAGGAAAAAGGAAACCACTGCTGCAAGTGAGGAGCTCTGCAGGGAAACCGGGGGTTCCTGAAACAGCACCAGCTGATGTGGATGCTGCTCTACCACATGCAGGGAGAAGGAGAGGAGAGGAGACACGCAAAGTAACTTTACTTTGAGAGCATTTTAAAAATAAGTTTTTATCAGATTTATTGTAGAACTATATATCGAGCTAACTTTTTACCAGCAGCGATTGTCTCACTTTGTTTAAGGCACTGCTTTTTTTAAGATACCATTTGTTGTGCTTGAACGTAAGGTCATTCTCACATACAACTCATATATTGTCTGGTGGTAGGCGGTAGGAATATCCATTTCAGTGTAACTGACTTACGCGTTTGGTAGGAGGAGGGGCCTCATCGTCATTGTTTAGTTATACCAGGTAGTGTCTGCTGGGGGCGGCTTGGCATAGAAACACAAAGTACAAGGGGACTCTGTCCTTCAGTATCTCCATATTAACAGGATCATTACAGTACTGTATAAGTCTTCTCAGATGTGCCTGTAGGATGCAGCAGGAACCTAGTGGAGGGGCTGATATCTAACCCCAGAGCTGGACGGGGAGGGGAAGATCCGGAGAGGTTCTTTAAGGAGATGGAAAATGAGTTGATTTTTGAAGGATAAATAAAGATTATTCAAATGGACATTGAGGAGAAGGTGGTTCATTCCAGGTAACTGAGGAAACAGAGCAGGGAATGAATAAGAGCAAGTTGTTTCTTGGAGAAAGAGGAGGCAATCAGAGATGCAGATAAGTTTGTAGATGAGGAGCACCTAGTAGCTAGCTTTTGCTCCCATGAAGAGTGAAGATGACTTTTTCTTGGGGATATGTTGGTGTAGATGGTTTAGGGACAAGTAAAGATTTGGGATAGCTTTTCAGAAATAATGGAGAGGGCTAAGAATGAATATAAGTGTTGGGCAATGCGGAGGCCCTGTTTAAGTGAGAGGCTGTGAGTTTTATCACAGCATTGGTTTAAAAATGTACTATCCTCCCAAAGATTAGCAGTACCCTTAGTGTTAGAGTGAAAAAGAATAGATGGTGATTTTTTAAAAATTAAATAGTTATGTGGCAGAAAGATAAAGGTGCAAGAGTTGAAGATATTAGAAAAACAGTCAAAGTGATGATTCAAATTGTCTAGGTAAGTGTTTCTTACTAGGGACACTATTCAGTTTTGCGGCATGGTACTGAATGTTGTAGGGGATAAGCATCCTAGACCTGTGCTTGCTTATTGCCAGGGGAATCCTTCCGTCACTGTGATAACCAAAACTACACCTGCACATTTTTGTACTGCTCCTCTCCCAGATTAGAGAACCACTGGCGAGAGTAAGTAGGAAAGAAAGCCAGCATGAGGAAAATATCTTAGTCTGGAGGGTATATTCTTCTGAGAGTGACATCAGATTTTTTTGTTTCTTTAATTTGATCTGCATAAGTGTGTATGTGTGGCTGTGGAAAGGGAGAATCTTGCTCTAGGTAAGAAAGTTACCTATGCAATGGCCAAAATGTTACAAAACATTTAATGTTCTATAATCTCCAACTCCTTTATGTACATTAGTGAAAAGACAGAATAGATGCAGGTTATAAGATCCAAACAATAGGAAATGTGCCATAGAGGCTCTAGAAATTGTCAGTTCCAGGTAAAGATTGAATTGTTTTACTGGCTATGGAGCGATCAGAAAATTTGTGGGATCTTCTGCTTCCTTATCTGCAGTGAAAGTTCTTTTCTTGTATTTTAGGATAGGTGATATTCTAAGATGGGACATAAGCTTAATGAAATACAGTTGGCCCTTGAACAACATGAGCTTGAACTGCATGGGTTCACTTATACATGGATTTTATTCAATAAATACATAAATGTATCTCAAGCTTTATTGTAAGAATACAGTATATAATAATAATACATATAACATACAAAATATATGTATTAACCAACTGTTTATGTTATCAGTAAGGCTTCCAGTCAGCAGTAGGCTATTAGTAGTTAAGTTTTGGGGGAGTCAAAAATTATATGCAAATTTGACAAAGTGAGGCATTAGCACCCCTACCCTCCAGTTTGTTTTAGGGTCAAGTGTAAATAGACATACTATCAAGCTTTTAATAGCAAGGCAAATTTATTTTTAAAGTTTTAATCTTTAGTACTCTGACTTTTAAAAGTTGTTTTCATATAATACCTGAATTCAAATTTACATTAACATGTCTCCTGTGTTTACAGCATATCACTGCTAACATTGCAGAAAAGACAGAAAATAAGAACACTGAATTCCTAATTCAAAATTTTAGTAAGTACCTTTTGGTTTAATCTTCTTTCTAAACTTCCCTTTTGCCATACTGGCTTTCTTTGATTTGAAAAAGAAAGATTTATAATAAATGTATTCAAACTTTATGCAAGGAACTTAGAGGTTACAAGGAAATATAATATACTCTCTGTTCCCAAGAAATTTGAGTTTGAGAGGGAGAAAACTCGATCAGTCAATCTCTCCATCCCAATATGTAAACCTTGATCAAAATCTTTACCCTGCCAACTGCATGAAAAAAATGAAAATACCATAATTTTTGTTTTATTTAGATGAATCCCAGTATATTCCTGATTCACAGGCAGTGGGAAAAATAGATAAATCTGTGTAAGTATGAGAATGCCCATCAAATCTTTTAGCTTGTATTGTTACTTTTAGATGAATGTAACAAATTGAAAGGAAAAGGCCTTTATAGTCTTAGAATGTACTGTTGGTTATAGCATTAATCATCTCTCAAGCATTGTGATACCACAATGGGGAATAGTCTGTTTTATCCATATCAACCAACATAACTCCTTTTAAACTGAGAGATTTCAAATGAATGAGATTTTCAAAATAAGAAAGTATGAATGTAAAGAAATTTAACCTAGTTTAAATATACAGTGGAACATGTAAGCTACCTGAGATGTATTTAGGTAGATATAAATATAGTAGCAATAATGGAACTTTTCAATCTTTAATCCGATCAATTATATGGTAAATTTTAATTTTCATAATTACTTATGAAAACATTTTCATACTTGACTGTTAAAAATTGCTATCAATAAATATTGACAAATTTAAAAAATCAAGATCTTATGTCAGAGTCATAACTAATGTTTTGTGATTTATTAAGCAAATGAATTTAATTTCCAGGTTACCTGGTGTTTCATACAACATTCGTGGAAATAAGACACCTTCTAAATTGGCATGTTGGACACCTGTAACAAATATTAAGCTGTGCAATAACCAAAGAGCAAGTACTTCACAAGGAGACACATTTAATCAAGGTGAAACATACACAATTGACTCTTAACACAGGTTTGAACTGCATGGGTCTGTCCACTTATATGCAGATTTTTTTCAGTAAATTTTGTAAATGTATTTTCTCTTGCTCATGATTTTGTTAAAATTTTTTTCTCTAGCTTACTAGAGAAAAGAATACAGTATATAATACACATGACATACAAAATAATGTTAATCGGCATTTATGTTATTGGTAAGGCTTCTGGTCAGCAGTAGGCTATTATTCGTTAAGTTGTGGTGAGTCAAAAGTTATATGTGGATATTTTACTGCATAGGGGTTGGCACCCCTAACCCTGTGCTGTTCAAGGATCAACTGTAGTTTTCTGTGTACATAGTAGTAGTTCAGGGGAAAATTCATTTTTTGAAATATCTGAAAAATATCTTTGGTTTCAACAAATTTTATACATTATCAGTTTATTAATTTAATACGGATTAATTTCTCTTTTTCCAACTAGATATTGCTATCAACAAAACAGTTACTAAACAAAAATCATCCTCTTCAGCATCTGATGATAATTTTGAAGAAATCGGAAAGGTGGAATATAAGAAAGAAATAATGCAGTGTAACAAAATAGATAAAGCAGAAGTAGATGTTTGCAAAAGAAACAAACAACAACTAAATCAACATTCAGAAATGAAAAATATTGAAAATACCAAGCAGAGTGATTGGCATATTGAATCTGAAACTACTTTTAAGTCAATTCTCCTAAATAAGACAGTTGAAGAATCTCTCATCTATAGGAAGAAATACATATTGTCAAAAGATGTAAATACTGCTATTTGTGATAAAAGCCCTTCTCCTAGTAAAAATGCAAAGAGTAGTAGAAAATCAAGGAAAAGATTAATGTCTGAACTTAATTCCTGGGATTTGAAACAAAAAAAAATGGTGAGCTTTCAGTGTGTTTTATTTCTGCACACCCATGATAGGCCTATTTAATAACATAAGAAAGCGAAGAAGCTTGATTGATTGCTGCAAATTTAACTTTTGTATACCTTGTTCATTAACACAAACTCAGGGCAAGTGCCTCCTGAACTCCTACACCTCTCCCCAGCCCTGGCTCTGGTAAAACACATGCACGTGGGAGCATAGCAGGCATGTACATAGGAATTGCATGAATGAACCCTGTTTTGGCTCCTTTTATTTTTTGTGAGCCACATATGTAATTTGTAATTTTCTAGTTATATTAAATTTTTTATTATACATTTTAAAAGTTTACAGGTGAAATTCATTTTAGTGTTATATATTTTTAGTTTTCAGTTCCAGTTGACATTCAATATTATATTTGTTTCTGCCTTGTCTTCTCTTGTTGGGTCTCTCCCACTCTGTCCCTCAGATTGCCTTGAACATGCATATGGAACTGTCTATTTGTGCCTCTCAAATGGTGCTTACCTTTCTTTTTAATAATGATTGTGCTTTTGTGGGGGTTGTTTTTTTGTTTGTTTGTTTGTTTTCATTTTAAACTATAAGTGTAAAGACTCTTTTATTCAACACTTGTGCTTTACACATAGTAGCATCTGAAGTATTTCTTGCATTTTTGCATTAAAGTTTTACAAGGTTTTTCAAGAAAGGATGTAAGTGGGGTGGAGGATACTATCTCCTCTTGTAATTGCTGCTCACCCCCATTGGACCCTCCACGTTCTTCAGATTAATCCTCTGTAGAACATCTCCAGGACAGTTTTAGCTGTTTTGTACCATACTTTGAAAGCTGTACCTGGGGGCTCTGTTTTATTCCATGAACCTGTTTGTTTGTTCTTTCACAAATCTGACACTATCCTGCTAACAGTTGTTTTAGTAAGCCTTAAAGCAGGGTTGTGTCAGTTCTCCAACTTTGTTCTTCTCCTTCAACATTGTGTTGGCTATTCTGGGTCTCTTGCTTCTCCATGTAAACTTTAGAATCATATTGTTGATACCCAAAAGATAACTCTCTGGGATTTTGATTTGGATTACATTGAATCTATAAATCAAATTGGAGAGAACTGACATCTTGACAATATTGAGCCTCTCCAGTTATTTAGATGGTTTTTGATTTTTTCATCAGAGTCCTGTAGTTTTCCTCATACAGATCTCATGTATGTTTTGTTATATTTATACCTGATTCCATTTTGGGAGGTGGTAGTGTAAATGGAATGTAATTTCAAATTCCAGTTGTTCATTACTGATGTGTAAGAAAGCGATTGGCTTTTATTATTACCCTTATACCCTTTCACCATGCTATAATTGCTTTTTAGTTCCTGGAATACTTCTGTTGATTCTTTGAGATTTTCTACGTAGACAGTGATGTCATTTGTGAAGACAGTTTTATTCCCAATCTGTATACCATTTATTTCTTTTGCTTGTCTTATTGCCTTAATTAGGACTTCCAGTATGATGTTGACTAGGAGTGGTGAGAGCAGACATCCTTTCCTTGTTTCCTCTCTTAGTGGGAAAGCATCTAGTTTCTCTCCATTAAGTATGATGTTTGCTGTATTTTCTTTTTGTATATGATCTTTATCAAGTAGAGGATGTTCCCCTGTATTTCTGGTTTTCTAAGAGTTGTTAATCATGAATGGATACTGGATTTAGTTAAATTTTTTTGTGCATCTATTGATGTGATCATGATTTTCTTCTTTAGCCTATTAATATGATGGATTACATTAATTTATTTCTAAAAGTTCTATCAGCCTTGCTCACCTGAAATAAATTCCACTTTATTGTGGTAGCCAATTCTTTTTATACATTTTTGGATTCTATTTGCTAATATTTTGTTGAGGATTTTTGCATCTATGTTCATGAGGTGATATTGGCTTCATAGAATGAGTTAGGAAGTATTTCCTGTGCTTCAGTCTCCTGGAAGATTGTGGAAAATTGGAATACTTCTTAAATGTTTGATAGAACTCACCAGTAAACTCATCTGGGCCTGGTGCTCTCTGTTTTGGAAAGTATTAACTATCGATTTAATAGATATAGTACTAGTCAGATAATTCTTCTGTGAGTTTTTATAGAATTTCAAGGAATTGGTCCATTTAATCTAGGTTATCAAATTTATGGGCATAGAGTTGTTTATAGTATTTCTTCATTATCCTTTTAATGTCTGTGTAATCAGTAGTGATAGCCACTTTCATTTTTGATATTAGTAAAATCTGTCTTTTATATCTTTCTCTTTTTTTTTTCCTTAGTTAACCTGACTAGAGGTGTGTCAATTTTATTGGTCTTCTAAAAAAACCAGCTTTTAGTTTCCCCTTTACTTTTTATCTGATTTTTCTGTTTTTCCATGGATAGAAACATTTAAAAAGTAGTATCTACTGAGCACTCTTCACAGTTCTTTCTATATGTTAAAAGACATCCTGACTTGTTTTAATGCCTATGAAAGCCCAAACTTACTTATCAAGTAATTTCTGACCCCCTTTATTTCTCTTTGTGGTTATACATAAAACCAGATTTGTCTTAAATTTTTTTCAGCCTTTATTTTCATTTGAAGGTTAACTTATATAGAGTTTTTAAGTAACTTATAAATTGTTTCAGAGAGAAAAGTCAAAAGGGAAAGCACTTACTGATGCAGCAAAATCCTTGATAAGCCAAATTAATAAGAGATACAAACCAAAGGGTGATATACAGTCTACAAGAAAATTAAAGGAGTCTTTGATTAACAGGTATGTTAAGTTTTAGACATGAATATTTTTCTGGCAGATACAGCTAAATTGTTTTATGCTGTTTTAAGGTTAGTTTTCAACATGTTAAAATAATGTAACTTTCCAGTAGAAAACACACAGTTATTTACTTCTAAAAATAGTAGCTGTTTAAATTAGAACTAAATTTGAAATTAGACATTCTAGTATCATTACATTTTATAAAATGTCAAAAACACCATATTGATGCATACCATTTCAGAAATCTTTAAGATACAGACACAAGAATTTTTTACTGAGCCTAGTGATGAGTAAAATGAAGTATATTTAAATATATTGCTTAATGAAATATGAAATTTAAATGAGCTGAAATGAGTTATTTTTACAAATAAATATGTATTTCTTGTTTATAACCTTTCTGAAGGTGTTAGTTCTTATTACAAAATGTATTTCTATAGGCTGCCAGTTGGTTAATTCACATTTAGATTAATTCTGGTCTTATTGTATGGCATGAAAAAAAATTACTCATAGCAGAACATTCAATTTAAGTTGCTTGGCACCTCCAGCTACATGAATGATTCAGCTTAGAATTAAATATTATTGTTTCTCTATACTAGGGGTGGGGAACCTCTTTTCTGCCAAGGGCTATTTGGATATTTATAACATTATTCAGGGCCATACAAAATTATCAACTTTTAAAAGTTAGCTATGGAAAAAGCTCCTAGATTTATTGAATTTTTGAGTCCCACTTACAGTTGCCTTGGCAGGGCCAGACCAGATACGGCCCGTGGGCCGGAGGTTCCCCACCCCTGCTCTATACTGTGAGTGACGATGCAAACACAGGGGATTAGTGCTGCCACACTGCGCTGATTTATAGCATGTAGAATTGGACTTAGTGACCCAAATATGTTCTGCCTTATGTAGAGATGTCTTTTATGAAAAACATTCTACTGATATTTAATTGCTTTCTTTATTTTGACAAAACCTTTTTTTATAGTGATTTTTCAAACAAATCTGATCTACAGCTCAGCAAGGTAGGTTTCATTTATTTAACTACCCCAAATATATAGATAGTCAAACTCTATGATATTTGACTATAAACACTAAAATAGAATAGTGGTACGATGGAATTAGATTGGATGTTTTTGGCATATTGATAAATGGATTAAACAACTGACACTTTAGTGGCAAGTACCCAAGGAAGCCCTCTACTCTGCTTTTCAAAGAAAATGCTTCTTTTACATATATGAGTGTGATATTTTTACCTTCTGGTTCACAATTTAGTATATTTTTATTTCCATTTTTTCCTAGCTAATCCTATCTCTTCTGATAATTAGATCCTTCTTAAATCCCTATTGTTGTTAAAAACATTTATTATTCATCCAGACTTCAAATATCAATTATACTTCATTTATTCCTCACAATTACTTTGTCCACTTTCAGGTTTTGAGGTTTACCTTTCGTAAGTACCTCTTGAATCTTCCCTCTCCTGCCGATTCCAGCTGCTGCTTTTCTAGTTTGAGTTCTAAATTTCCAATCCTGCCCGGCCGGGTGTGGCTCAGTGGTTGAGCATCGACCTAGGATCCAGGCGATCGGGGTTCGATTCCCGGTCAGGGCACATGCCCAGGTTGCCGGCTGGGCAGCCGATCAGTGACTCTCTCATCATTGATGTTTCTATCTCTCTCTCTCCCCCTCCTTTCCTTTCTCCGAAATCAATAAAGATATATTTATAAATAAATAAATTTCCAATCCCTGGATTACAATAGCCTTTATATAAGTCATGCTGGCGCTAGTATTTCTTTGTGCCAATCCATTCAGTACCGGCTGTTTTCTTTCTAAATCGCAAGGCTTCAATCCTCTCATTCTCTTGCTCAGAGCCTTTCTTTGATCCCTGTTGCTTATTGAATTAAGCGTGGAGACCTAGCCTGGCTCCCTAGTCCCTTTCAAAGTCAGTCTTGTTTCTTAACATTAGTTTCCTAGGCATGTTTTGTGTAGCTGAGATGTAACTTGAGATTCTCTGAAGTGTGTGTTCTCTTTTTCTTCCACCTTTGGAAAGAACTTGGAACTGACTCAGCAGGCTCCCATCTTTTTTTCTGATTGTCAAAGCTTTATTCCTCCTTGTAAGACTTACTTCAGAGTCTGCCTTATTTATGAAAACTTTCCCATGTGCCCTGACTCAGAGTCCAAGTGTGCAAGAATTCTGAATCTGCACAATTATTTTTTGTATCTTTTTGATATTTTCTTCACTATTGCAGTTTTTAAAATTACTTCTTTTACCAGAGTGTAACTGTTTAGCATCATCTTTATATCCTGTATGACACCTTTGCCCACTTTTGTATCCTCTTCAATATCGTTACTCATTTTTGTGTCTTCTGTAATACCTAGCACACACTGGCATGTAAAAGATGAAATGAACAAATGTGTCTGAACACTGGTAAAAATCATATGGGAAAGGGTAAGTCAGATAAAGGGATCAGAGAAGTAATGATGTCCCAAAACATGTGTACACACACTTTAAATGAATATAAAAGCAGTGTTTATTAACATTTCATTTTCAAAATTGAGCTATCAGCTATTACAATGTGTGTACAGTTTTGGAGGATACCCTGCATTGAGGGCTAAATGTTTTGGAATAATGCAAATCTATATAAAGTAGCCAAAAATAATAATAAAATTGAAGATGAATCACAACTGAAATGAATGTTTTTGTTTTAATATTTCTAACTTACTAGATATTAAATAAGACTTCTGACTATTTCTGATTAGTAATCATTTAGTGACATTATTTGTGTACTTAATTAAATACTTCAATAAAACATTTTACTAAAATTTTATTTAACAGCTTCTCTGTCCTCACTGCTTCCGGTGAGGTTGAATGCATTTGGAGCAGCAGACTGGGGAATGATCTGGCACTCCCCGCTAGCCCTAGCTGACTGACACAGTTTTCAGTCTTTCACATGAGAGTTTACATAAACCTTGGCTTCTGCTAGAGTTTTTCTATTTAAGAATTCAAAGCAAATGAATATTTAAAAAGTGCTTTTTGTGTTTGTGTGATTCTAGACTCACTAAAATTCAGCTTGGAGAATGCCAGTAAGGTCATTTTACCTACGTGCAATAATTTCTTATATTTTGTATTTGATTTTTAATACTTTCTATTATGTTTTTAGTTAATAATGAAGTCTTCAGTATTTTTAAGTATGGATATTTAATACTTTTATTTAATTCACATTAAGGAAACTGTTACAAATGTTAAATTTATATCAGTGGAAAAACAACCAGAAAATATATGAAAATTTAATTGCATATGCTATTTATTTGCCAAGTATACTAATGTACAAGTTTGAATAGTTTTATGTAAACTTTCGTATTTAGGAAAAGGGTCAGAAAAAAAGTTATAGACAACTGAAGACTACTTTTGTTAATGTTACTTCTGAACACCCATTGTAAGTACTTTTTCATAAATTTTATAATTTCATATTTGAAGAAAATAAATTTATTATATAATGGAGTTAATATTTCTCTTCATTTTACAGGAATGATGTTTACAATTTTAATTTGAATGGAGCTGATGAGCCTATTATAAAACTTGGAGTAAGCTAGAAATCTGTAGTTATTTTGTATTTATTCAGTATTTTTTTGTATCTGTGGTGCGGTTATTAGAGTGTATATTTTTTTATTTCCAGACTCTTATAGGTATGCTTTAAAAATATATTCTGTTGTTTTTTTTAATCCTCACGAGAGCATATTTTTTCCATCGCTTTTCAGAGAGAGTGGAAGGTAGGAAGGGGGGGGAGAGGGAGAGAGAAAGAGAAATATCGATGTGGGAGAGACACACCAATTGGTTGCCTCCCTCACACGCCCCAATCAGGGCCAGGGATTGAGCCTGCAACTGAGGTACGTGCCCTTGGCCAGAATTGAACCTGGGACCCTTCAGTCCACTGGCCGATGCTCTAACTACTAAGCAACACTGGCTAGGGCTATTCTATTTATTTTTATTAAATTTATTGGAGTAACATTGGTTAAAAACATTGTATGAATTTTAGGTATACAACTTTGTAATATGACATCTGTATACTCCATTGTGTGCTCACCACCCAAAGTTTAGTCTTCTTCCATTCTTTTTAAAATATTTTAAAATCTATTTGGTACCAACCTAGGTATATTTAGTTTCCTTTCAAATCCTTTGCACTGAAGTAGAAAAAAAAGAGTAATTGGGACATGAAGGAACTCGGACTGCTTCATCAAGAAAATCACTTTTCTTATAGATACAACAATTTAAAATTTTTTCAATTGTTTTAAAAATTTTCAAGTTACTCTTTATTTTTAGTATATTTTACAGCACTTGCTTTCTTAGATAGAAACTGTTTTACTAAGCTTAATTTTATTGTCACATCTTATGACTATATGAAGTGATAGAAACTAGATATTATATTTCTTTTAGTTTTTGTTTACCTTATTTTGACACTAAGAAAAAAAATTTGTAATGCTTATTCATAATATAGATCCAGGAATTTCAAGCTACAGCTAGAGAAGCCTGCATGGATAGTTCAATAAAATCGTAAGTGCTTTATTATAATTAGTTGGATCAGATTAAAATACACTTATCTCAATTGTTCTTTTTAAGTATTTCCTCCCAGTTTATCTGAGAGTTTTTAATATATGAGAAGAATGAATGATAATGCTACTGTCATGATTACTCCCATTATTACCCTATTTCAGCATTTGTAGTCGACCCTTGGACATCACGGGGTTAGGAGCACCAACCCTGTGGAGTTAAAAATTGGAGTTGAACTTTTGACTCCCCCCAAACTTAATTACAAATACCCTCCTGTTGACCCAGAAGCCTTACCAATAACATAAACAGTTGATAAACACATATTTTGTATATGTATTATATATGGTAATCTTAAGTAAGCTAGAGAAAAGAAAATGTAAGGAAAGTCATAAGAGAAAATACATTTGCAGTAGTTATTGAAAATCTGTATAAGTGAACCTGCACAGTTAACACCTGTTAATAGTCAACTGTACTTCTAAATTTAATAATGCATACTCTGTGCCCTTTTAATATTAGTTGTATATTCTACATGATAAAGCTGAAAGGACTTAGTAGTACTTTCATCTAACCTTGTAATTTTATAATTGAGGTCAGAGAGGAAAAGTCACTTGGCCAGAATTATATAGTGAATTATTAAAGAGTAAGGCTGAAAACCCTGGTCTAACTGTTCAGTGCATGCTACCTTAAGAAAACAAGTACTTAAAATTAATTAAAATTAATGCATGTTTTTGTTTAAGGTTTGGTTTAATGAGTCATGATGAACTTGAACCTTCTCTCAAAACAAAAGAGAAAAGAGTAAGTTATAATATCCTGATATGTCTATTAAAACCAGTATTTAATAATTTTCCATTACCAAAGATTATCACAGAACTGGCAAACAGAAATATGCAGATCTTTTTTTTCCCCTCAGAGATTATCAATGTTCCATTATGACTTTTTAAAAATATCTTTATTGTTGAAAGTATTATAGATGTCCGTCCCCCCTTTCTCCTCCCCATTGATAGCCATCACCCAGCATCCACCCCCGCCCCCACCAGGCCTTCTCCACACTATTGTCTGTGTCCATCGGTCATGCATATATGCATCTAAGTCCTTGATTAATCTCCCCATGAGCACACGCGCGCGCGCGCGCGCACACACANACGCGCGCGCGCGCACACACACACACACACACTCTCTCTCTCCATGGTCTGAAACTGTGATCGTCTAGTAATAGATGTGACAGCTNGCGCGCGCGCGCGCGCACACACACACACACACACACACTCTCTCCATGGTCTGAAACTGTGATCGTCTAGTAATAGATGTGACAGCTTCAGTTCCTTTCTTTGATGGTAATAGGTTATGTGTCTGTAGAAACAAGCTGATGTGATTAAACTTTTAACAACACAGACAACAAAATACAGCTCTTGATATCTGATCTGGATTTCCAAGTAACTTCTTGGATAGGTCCTTAACATAAGTTAGTTTTTCTGTGTGTGGTTTTGATTGCCTTTTTGTTTTGTTTCAACTTACTTTGCATGACATATAAGACACATTTCTTCATCTATTACAAGGATTCTTTTTTTTTTTTAATAGATTGTAACAAGTCATAAAAATAAAAACCTCTTTAGTGATACTGACACAGAATACAGATATGATGATGGCAAGACCGACATTAGCTGGCTAAGAGAACCAAAATCAAAACCACAGCTAATAGAATATAGCAGAAATAAAAGTGTGAAGAAGAAACAGAAAAGTGGGAAATCAAGTAAGAAATCACTTTATAAAGAAATGTTGCAAATGAGTTTACTGTTTCAGCTATAGAAGGTGCTTTCTTGGTAGCTAAGTATATTTTTGTATGTGGATAGTATTTTTACTTACATACCTTATGAATAGAAAAAAGAATGAAAGCAAATACACAAATACTACAGTGGTTTTGTTTTTTATTATTTTTGTTAATATGGTTGTATTTAAATTGCTTTTTAAAAATGGGATGTTAGGGACATAAAATATCATTTATCCTAATATTTGGTTCATCACATGCTCTCATCATTTGTCTATTCTTGCCCTACTGTTATTCAATTATTAGGTATTTATTATGAATAATGTATTAAGCACTCATGAACCCAACACCCTAAACAAAATCAGAGCTTGGACAACATCCCCATTCCCTGCTATACCCAATACACATACGCTTTAGGAATTGATATAGATGCAGTAAAAGTATATTGAAAGAAAAACAATTTTCTTACAAAAATAGTTTTGCCCAAATCTTTCACAAAGTGTTTTCCTAGTATATGGCTTCTGTTTTCTCTAGCCAATCGCCTGAAATAGTCGGATAAGAGTTTGAGGTACGGGCTTTGGCCTAGACATATTGACCATTTTCATTGCTTAACATCAATTTCAATGTTTACTAAAACAAAGATTTTATATATTCCATTTTTAATAGAAGACAACATAGCCGAGCTAAGTTTATATTTATTTTAAGGGAATCAGCTTTTTTTACTTTATTTTTCAATTACAGTTTACATACAATATTGTATTAGTTTCAGGTGTACACCTGTGATTAGACATCTATATAACTAAGTGATCATCCTGATAAATTTAGTACCCATTTGACACCATACATGGTTATTAGAATATTATTGCCTATATTCCCTATGCTGTATTTTACAACCCCATGACTATTGTGTAACAACCAATTTGTACTTCTTAATCCCTTCATTTTTTTTACATCTTCCCCTAACTCCCTTCCCATCTGGCAACCATCAAAATGTTCTCTATGAGTCTGTTTCTGTTTTGTTTTTGTTTTTTTACACTCATTTGTTGATAAGTATGTATTTATTGCCATATTATTGTTCATATTTTTTATTTTTTCTTCTTAAAGAAGACCCTTTAACATTTCACATAGCACTGGTTTGGTGGTGGTGATGAACTCTAGCTTTGCCTAGTCTGGGAAGCTCTTTGTATGTCCTTCGGTTCTGAATGATGGCTTTGCTGTGTAGAGTGATCTTGGTTGTAGATCCTTGCTCTCCATCACTTTGAATATTTGCCAATCCCTTCTGGCCTGCAAAGTTTTTGTTGAAAAATTAGCTGAGTGTCTTATGGGTGCTTCCTTGGGGGCAACTGCTTTTCTCTTGCTTTTAAGATTATCTTTAATCTTTTGCATTTTAATTATGATGTGTCTTGGCGTGGGCCTCTTTGAAAGGCTTCATCTTGTTTGGGACTCTCTGTGCTTCCTGGACTTGTATGTCTGTTTCCTTCACCAGGCTAGGGAACTTTTCTGTCATTTTTTCAAATAGATTTTCAATTGCTCTCTCTCTTCTCTTTCCAGCATTCCCATGATGCAAATGTTGGTACACTTGAAGCTGTCCCAGAGGCTCCTTCATCTTTAGGATTTTTTTTCTTGGAATCAGCTTTTATTTTATTTTGAGATAAAAATAACCAGTAGCGACCTACAGGCTGGGGGAGGGGGATAATGGCTTAAAAAGAAGTAAAAATAGAGATGTGGAAATGAGCTTTGTCATGTGTTTAGAAATGAAGTTGAATCTTGGAAACAGATGAGAGGCCAGTCATATGCATGAGGAAGAGGAGCAGCTTATAAAAGAGAAGTATGAAGTAGCTTAGTGTGCTCAGGGGATGCAGTACTGCAGTAATTGGAACACAGATCAAACTTGTGGGAAAATGTTCAAAGATGCCGCTAGCTCTGGTCATAGTGAGTGGACTTTGAAGCACTGGAGAAGCATAAGACCCACATGTTCTCAGGGAGCTTGCAGTCTAGAAGGAAGATGTACAAATACAGACAGTAGATTAGAGATCTTGGGGAGACATAACAGGTTAGAATACTATAATCAGTACATACTTTTAAAGTTGAACTTCTGAGTGAATTTTGAATGACAAGGGCTGAATGACAAGTCAATATGTCCTAGTTGCCCTATTGCCAAGATTGGGAGATCTTTCTTCCAGAACTTCATTGCTCCTTTTGCTTGGATAATCCCACTTCTTAGGCTTCAGAGAATATTTAGGAAGTCGAAATTGTGCTTGAAAGGTAAAAATGGGAATAGGGTCTAAAGCTACTCTCAAGAATGTGGATAAATCTTAGAAACATAATGAGTGAAAAATAAAGCAAGTCAGACTATTACATGTGACATGACTGTTTTATAAAGTTCATTATATTGTTTAGGGATACATATCTGAATTGAAACTTTTTTTTTTGAGATCAAGTGAATGAGACAGATTTCAGGATAGTGATTACGTCTAGTGATTACGTCTCAGCAGAGGAGATGTGGAGGGTCACACAAGAGAGTACATATAAGTAGTAGATTCAACATTACTGACAATGTAGTTTCTACTGAATGGTAGCATCATGGGTGTTAAGTTAGATATTCTCCTGTATGTTTAAAAAGTTTTATAATATAAAAGAGAAGGGAACTTGGTAATTCATATATCAAATACTATACAGTTTAAGTTTGAATGAATTTAAAGATGCATTCTTATTTTCTTTGATTTTAACTTATATGCATAAATATTCTAATAAGTTTTAAATGCCAGTTTTTATCCTTTTGAAGAATTTAACCTTATTTTCTTGAATTGCAGGACCATCTTTGGAAAGGGAACAACCAAGATCTAAAATGGTAAAACTCAGAAGTTTGTGTCCAAACATCCCTTTAAAATCATTTTTCTCCTTGTCGTGAAAAAAAAATTTGTCATCTCATAGTTTTATCCTTGTCATCATTTACTTGTTTCCCATAATTGTTTCAGTCTTTTACCGTTCCTCCTACCTTTTGCTTTTTTAACATGTTAGCCTGTTTTAGGTCTGTTTTATTCTGTGATGCTAGGTATTTGTGACATCTTTTTTCTCTTAAGTTAGGTGATATAAATCAGGCCTCTCAAACCTTTAATGACAGGGATAAAAAAATAATAGAAGATATTTGGAATGGAAATATAAAACCCAGACTTTTTAAATATATAACTGGAAGCTTGTGCTTCTCAATCCCCATCCCCTTTGTCAACCATCAGTTTGTTCTCTGTGTCTGTGGTGGTTTCTGTTTCATTTTTTTGTTGTTGAGATTCTACATATAATTGAAATCATATGGTATTTGTTTTTCTCTGACTTACTTCACTTACCATCGGTAAACCTAGAGAGTAGATGGCAAGATTTCATTTTCTTTATGGCTAATATTCTGATGTGTTCCAATCTTGTAAAATTTTCTCTCTCCAGTCATTTAAAAGATATTAATCAGAAATATATTTCTAGAAATATTTTATAGCAAATAACTTGTATTTCTTGTAACTCAAATATTGATATAATAATATTCAGGAATTTTTCTCCCATAGACACCCAAGAAAACCACCACCAAAAAGGTAGATGAAACCATTCCAGATGGGAGAACCAGACTTCCACGAAGAGTGGCAAACACCAAAAAAAATTATAAAGATCTTTCAAATTCAGAATCAGAATGTGAACAAGAAGTTTCAGAGTCATTGAAAGAAAAATTGCTAGTAAAGGTAAATAGAAACAATTTAATAATTTCTAAATACAGAATATATTTTTTAAATGTCAAATGTATCTGTTTACTTCTTTTTTAAGATTTAACCCTCTGTATGAGAAAACTTGTATAATTCTAAAAGTTGATCCTTAGGCATTATGTTTGGAATAGGTTGGCATTAGTGTCACAACACAGATGTGTGACTGTAGTAGAATTATAACTTTAAGATAATATCCTTGAATTAGAGAATTGATCTTTCCAAAATTATATACCTCAAGAAAGTACAGACTGTTAGGCAACTGTGGATCTGTTGACTGAAAGTAAAAATATTGGATCTGAGGTTCTTCTTATACACTGATCCATGTCCGTCCCTGACGACTTCTTAAATCTCATGTCACAGACACGTCTACCCACCTGTGCTTGAAAGTGTTAACAAAGTTTAAAAAAAGTTTTATAATGTGCCAGGTGCTATCTTAAGTGCAGATAATCCTCAACTTCCATGGTTCCAACTTACAATTTTTGACTCTACGATGATGCAGAATTTTTGACTCTATGATGAGTACACATTCAGTAGAAACTGTTCTTCAGGTTTTGAATTTTGATCTTTTCCCAGGCTACACTTTGTGGTATATTACCCTTCTCATGTGGCCAGCTGTAATGAGCTACAGCTCTGAGTCAGGCACAGGATCCCCAGGGTCAACAACCAACACTGCAGCGCACTGTGTTGCCAGTGTTTTTTGGATATTGTGTTCTGAGCACAGTGAAGGTAGACAAGACTAATGACGTTCAGTAGGTTAGATGTGGTAAATGCATTTTTGACTTGACCATATTTTCAACTTACAGTGGGTTTATCAGGACATACCCCATTGTAAATCGTGGAGCATCTGTATGTACTTTATAGATTTGACTTCTTAAAATCTCATAAGTACTATAGGTGACTAGTACTATTATTGACATCTCATTTTACAAGTGAGAAAATTGAGGCACAGAGAGATGAAGGGATTTGCCCAAGGCCAGCACAGCTAGGAAGTGGTAAACAAAGGTTTGAGCCTAACGAGTCTGGCACTTAAGGTAGGTGTCTCTGGCCATCTCACTGTTCTGATTTTCAATCATTAAACCTCCATATCCCCTTGTTTGTAACCTTCTTATCTCTTATCTGGAAGACATTAAGGACTTCGTAACTTATCTCCATATTTTCTATCACTTCTTACGTTAATTTACTATATATATAGTCAGGTCAGTCTTATCTTCCCAGGCCACCCTCTCATCATATCCCTCTTCAAAGAAAAACCCTGAGTATCTACCACCCTATAGTCAGACATTCAAAGCATCAGAATGACTTTCCAAGCTTATTTCCCCTCCTTCCCAGAGCTGTGACAGTCAGAATACCTGAGACTTCCGAACGAGACCTGTGCTTGCCTACTCTGTGTGTCAGCAGACCTCCACCCCCTCAGTGACCTTCTCTCACCACCCTCCTTTCCAGACTCCTGAGCCGTGGAACCCAGGAACACGCTCTGCTTTCACTGAACTGAGAATGATCTCCTGGAATCTTAGATACCATAAGAGATACCAATAAAATACTCTATTATAGTGTATCATATTTCTTGTGAATTTGCCATATGTCTTCCAGTGTATTAGTCTTTCACTACTCATGTTGTGGCCCCTGCTATGCTCATATGTAGTAATATAAGACATTTATTAACATTTCAATGTAACTTAAATTACTTGTATTCTATTATAATTTGAAAGTTATCAATACATTTAGGAGGAGAATATTCATGCCAGAAGCAAAACCATGAAGCTGCCAAAGAAACAGCAGAATGCCTTCTCCTCAGAGACACAAAAGGATATATCAAAAGAATGGGCAAGCTCATCTCTCCTAAAAAATACTACTATAAGAGACAACAGCCTTGACTTATCTCCTGTGTCTTTGTCTGGGAGTCCATCATCTATAGAAGTAATGAGAAGTCAGTATCTTTAGTTGAATACTTAATTTTTACTATAATTATATGAAAATAGGATTTGAAGACTAATTTTGACGGGTGTATTAAGATTATAGGTAGTCAAAATTTTATTTTTAAACTAGTTAATGCTCAGAATTTGGTCTTTGCCAAGTATAAGTAGACTTGGGAAGAGTATTACTGACACTGAAGCTGGTCATGTTTGCACTTTTTCTATCTTTCAGGTCCTTTAAAGGATGTTTTAAAGCATTTCTAAGTGTCTATAATTTCAGTTAAAATTCAAGACTTACATCAGTTAACATATATACTTCCTCTGAAGTGGCTGTTTTTATAATACCTGGGAACACTGTTATCTCGGATAAGCATATACTTAGAAGACAGATGCACATGCCTTGGTTTGATCTGAAAACTGTCAGAGTTCACTTATATTAAGATTTATTTCAGCCATGAATTTCCTCATCTATATTTGAAGGAATTAGACCAAATTATTTCCCAAGCCTTTCCAACCATAAAATTCTGTGGCTTTTATATATAAACACTACTGATGTCAAATACTCAGGCTGCTCGTTATAGTGCAGCTTATACTATAGATCATTTTGTTTGAAAATGTTTTAAATGTTCTATGGTTACAATTACATTTAAAATGGAGCCATTTAATATTTTTCAAAGTCTTATATAATATTTTAAACAGTTTGGTTTTGGTTTAGTGAAAGCTTATCCTTTTTAAATACGGCTAATTGTCTATTCTTAGAATTTAATCATGCTATTCTAAACTAGACATCAATAACGCCTTCCACCTTTTTTTGGTTTGTTTTGTGAGGCAATATAGGTACAGAGAAAATAACAGAAAGGGACTTTACTCAGGATCATGACTGTATAACAAAATCCATATCACCTACTGTAAAATCTTCATCACCTGAATCCTTCAACAGTAAATATGGAGTTGGAGGTCCAATAAAGTCACTGAAAAACAGTGAGAAAAATTTACTATGTGCAAGAGAAAGTTGCTCACCAATGCCTCAATCATTCTCTTCGGTAAGATTATATATTTTTCTTTAATCACACATATTTGAAGTGGGTAAATCATTTTCCTCTAATCAAATACACATTGCTTACCTACTTAGCCTAAGCTTTTGTGTCATATCTGGGGAAGAGGAGGAACCTACAGAAAAGTAAAATAGCCTCAATGAACCTAATAGATTGATTATAGCTGCTGTAGAGGAGGAAGGTGGTGGTATGAGAAGCAGAGTGCTGGCAAGTGTGCTATGATGGGAATGATCGCTTTAAAGAGGCGCTGCGTGTTTGTCTACACATCGAAACTACATAATTCGTTTTCTAGATTTGAATAGGCTTAGTCCTGCAACACAGCACTTCTTTCGGATTCTGCCATAACTCGAAGTTTGTAACCTTTAGTTACTAAACCAGAAGTTGACAAAGCAAATTGACAAGAACTGTAATTGAAAATAGTATGACTATAGTATTTGCTTTGGAGTTTTGTAAGGAACTTTAAGACTAGTAGGTAAATGGCATGAATATTAACAAATTTAATATATTGAAAATTCCTTTTGTGTTGTTATATGTCCTATTTCTTAATAAAATATGTAGGTATGCTCTCAAAAGACATTAGAAATAGGAATCAATTATGGGTTAAAGTGAGAGAGAGAGAGAGAGACGTAAAAATGTATTTTGAGTTTTGCTGTGTTTTTTTTAAGTTGTGAATACTTTGGTACCAGTTTACCCCACCTCAACCCTGCCACCCCTTTTTGCTTGGGTGGTATTGATGGCTCAATTTGGAGAATTTTGTAGTAGTAACAAAGTTATAGAACTGATTGCCAAGATAATTTTGCTCACTATAACTGGGTACAGTTGAAAAAGTTTTGAGTCAGACAGAATTGCGTTTAAATCCTGGCTCCACTATTTTCTGCCTATGTAACATTTTACAAGTTGATGATTCCCTCTGCACCTCAGTTTTCTCATCTGTAAAATGGGTCTGTGAAAAATTAAATAGGCTGATTATGTAAGCATAATACTTGAAAACATTGTAAATGTTCAAATATTTACATAGTAAATTCTCTTGATGTGTACTAACCTCTGTATATAAAGATGGAATTAATGAGAGTTTCAGAACACCTATAGCCAAGATCTAAAATCTCTAATAACCTTATTTTTTACAACTTTAAACAATATTTTTATTCCTAGAAGGTTTTAAGGTCCTTTTATTCTGTTTAACTAGTAGTCTTCACAGACCATATTTTTCAAACATAATCTTATATGAAACCTCCAATGTGCCAAACAAATAAAAATGGAATTATGCTGTTTAGAGCAGATAGGAGATCTAAACCTTAGCCTACTCAGCCTCCCTCTGATAACTCCAAGGGGCCTTTGCAGGGCTCTCAATTTCTACAGACTACAATCTGAAAAAGTTTCCCACTAGACTGTCATCCCATGGTATTTTGTAAGTATTGCTCTATCAGCCTTACTTTCCCGGAGTCCTTTATCCCTTCGGTGTCCTATCCTTCAAATCTCAAAACGTAGGTAATCACCACCCACTTTCTTTGATGCTACTTGGTGCTAGATGGAATTTTAATTGTTACATATGAGACATTGTTTCGCATTTACTGTGTATCCTTAATTAGGTATTGGAAATTTGCTCTATCAGTTAGTTGTACCAGCTTACATTATGCTCACCAACAGTGTACTTTTTGTTAATTGGCTGTTAGATGTTTGTTTTTGCCAACCTGATTCATGTCTCTCACTTTAATTTGCATTTTCATGGTTAATAGCATTGAGTGTTTTCATATATTTTTTGGCCATTTGGTGAATTGTCTATTTTTTCCTAATTTTTAATTGCATTGTTTGATTTTTCTTACAAATTTGTAGGAGTTCTTAATATATTCTGGACATTAATTCTGTATTGGTTATATACAATGCAAACATTCTTTTTCCAGTATTTATCTTGTCTTTTCACTTGAATGAAAATATCCATGATGTAATGAAATTTATGTCTTTTGTGGTGTTCAAGAAATCCTTCCTTCAGCTATTCTAAAAACATACATTTTCTCATAAAAATGTTATTTGATTTTAACGTTTGTTTTCAAACTTTCTGGGCTTTCTCTTTGCATATAGATAGTGCATTAGTGCAACATCATGCTTGGGCGACTCCTCCTTTCTCCGACCTGTGTAATGCTAATTTGGTCATAGTCTTGGCAACCATTGGGTCAGCTGTTAGACTGGCCAGTAAAACAGAATAGTGCCTGCCTCTGTGCTAATACTACTACTTTGCTTTAAAAGTAGTTTTACACTTACAAGGTGTTTCATACACCACCACCCCAGTCAACCTGGTCTTACCCTTTTACTTCTAAATTCTCTTGGCCATTTACATGTTCATATTACATTTGGGAATTAGTTTGCCTGAAGAATTACCTGCCATGAACTTTCTCATTGACATAATTCATTTTTCTCCCTACTTTTTGGTCTTATTTCTGACAAAATTGTGCCAAATCTTCCACAGAGAAAATTATACTACTTGTTAGATTAATTCCAAAGTGTTTTATGGGTTTCCTTTTTACTGTATTGAAAAAAACCTTTAAAGCCAAGGCCGGGTGTGGCTCAACAGTTGAGCGTCGACCTAGGATCCAGGCAATCGGGGTTCTATTCCCGGTCAGGGCACGATCAATGACTCTCTCATCATTGATGTTTCTATCTCTCTCTCCCTCTCCTTTCCTCCCTCTGAAATCAATAAAGATATATTTAAAACAAACAAACAAAAAACTTTAAACTGTTTTCTGGGTTTAGTATTTTGCTTTTGTATATCTCTCACAACCTTGACAATTCTACCAGAATTGTCTGCGTAGATTCTCTTGGACTTTGAGTATAGACAGTCCTAAACTGTTATTCATGATAATGTTGCATTCTGTTCCACTCCTTATACTTTCTTTTTTATTAAGGTGAGTATGACTTCTGGAGCAATGTTAAATAGATAATTGTACTAGCAGGCATGCTTAGCCATAGTTTTTGGTAGATACTTGTTATCAAGTTAATGTCCTAGTTGTCTGAGGACTTTTATTTTTAATTTTGAATAGGAGTTGAATTTTAGCAGCAAATGAATTATTCCCTCAAAATTTACGTAGTTTTGGTTTAATTTTTTTGGTTTCTATATGTCTTGCTCATTCATAGCCCAGGTATACTCCTACTAAGAATAATACTATTGTGAATAGAAAAAATGTAAATTGTGGTACTTAAATAAGAAACACGAAATTGCAATAGCTATTCAGATGTAAGCAGTTATAGTTCAGAAAAAAGTTTATGGAAATTGAACCTCCAAATGTCAATGAAAATCATATACATAGCAAAAGGGAGACATATCTGGTAGTGTAGCCATCAAACTTTCCCTAAACTAAGGTGGTCTGAGAAGAATCAGTTACTGGCCTTTAATTATAATATTTTCAACTTATCTACAAATCTGATGTTTACAATATGTAGGATAGTTTAATCGTAGGAAAAAGCTGAAATTTTTTAAATGAGAAGTAGTAAGGTCTTAAATAGTGAGAATATAGCTGCCGAACCACTGACTTACATGTTTATAACTAGGACTTTCTGGCTTCATGATTACATAAAAATTTGGTTGAGTTTTTTTGCCACTATAAAAGTCCATCACTCCAACAACAAGAATAGTTTAATAATCTGTAAAATACAGAAAGGTAAGACAGAATTTTACAGCATGGAGAGGGCTGGGATTCACCCTAGACCTAAGTGGGAGCGTGGGTACTTATAGTAGAGAAAGAACAGTAATCTAAGGAAGGGAACTGGAAGTGGACATGCACTATCAGGAAATAGGAAAAACCTAATTTGACTGGAAGAAATCTGTACATTGAAACAGCAAAACACAAGGTTAGATGGGAAAAAAATGTCTTAAAGATATAGCTTGAGAGAAAAGTTTAGACATTTTTTATAGTTCCCCATTTTCTGACTCAAAATCCTAATAAGAATTGAAAAGCAGGAGTAGTCACAAAAGCTAGCTCAAAATTATTAGTATAGTTTAAGATTGAGATTCACTTAAGAATGTAGGTTAAAGTAGTGTCAAAGATGAAAAGGGAAGGAGAGAAACAAAAAAAGTCTGAAAAAAGTATTGACAGCTTTTGCAATTTCCTGGCTTTAGGGTTTAAGAAAGATGGTCAAAGGTGAGTCCAAGAGTACTTATGGTATTTTTTTTCAATTTTTGATACATATTTTAGGAAAGTCATTCAGCATCTTCACTATCCACGTCTAGTGAGAAAGGAGAGAAAATAAGATGTGACACGCCCTGTGACTCCACTCATGTATCAGGTTTGACTCACAGCCTTGCTTCTAAGTTAGTTACTGAAATGCTGTGAAAGTTCATCTAAAAGAATTATATATTTGAAAACATACTAAATTATTCAAGTTAGCTAATTTCAAAATGAAAATAAGGAACTAGATAGAATTTAATGCACAGTTACCTAAAATGATATAATTAACTGAAACAAATACTTTTTTCATAAAAGCAAGAACACTATTAATTATTTAACTGTTCCTAAGGCCCTACATACCATCTTAGTCGCAAACGAATGTACATAGAAGACATTAATCCCAATGAAGTAGGATTGGAAGAGGAAGAGGAGGGGAGAGCAGACTTGCTTCCCCCAAAACTGTCTAAAATGGAAAATGCTGATCATCACAGTCACAAAAGTAGGTAGATCAAATGTGTGTGTCAAAATGCAGCTATTTGGGAAGGTAGTTTCTTAGATCTCAAATGAGTCCATCCACAAAACAAACCCTTTGTAAAGACAACTTTGGTCAAGTCCAAGAAGAGTGATGCTCTATCACAAGTTTACTGATGTGAGTAATGCAGGAAGGGTTCTTTTCACTCAAACATTCCTCATCTCTATCACCAATCACCTCATGTGAGCTGTACTAGAGGGTAAACTTACTACGAAACTAGCGTGTTAGTAAATACTTGGGTCAATGACATGGAAGTAGCTAAAACCATTTAAAAATACCCTAAAAATGTTCCATTTTAATGTTACCTTTCCTGCTTTAATACCCATGCCAAAAGGTTTTTTTATAAATCAATTATTTTTAAATTAAAAATATGTCTGCATTTGATTTCATAATCCTTAGATTATACATAGAACCTGAAAATAAGGTTTTGTTCTCAGCCTCATGACAAGTAAGGCTACATTCATGAAAATACATTTTAACTTTGGTTGTTTGCCTTCATTTTTTAGTGTCTGAAAGTACATCTCCGTTATCAACAAATGACTTTTCTGTTCCTGGAAAGAACTGGGGAACTGAAATTTCAGATGTAGGCACAATGTGTGAGCAGTTCAACACAGAATTTAAGAAGAAATTTAATGTGAGTTATTGAAATTATACCCAATAATGTGATAATATGCCCCCCTTTCTACTAGACTATCCACTTGTGAATTCAGCTTTCCTCATGTACTGGTAAAAACTGGAATGATTCCTAGGTTAAAACCTTTTATCTCATGAGTGAATTTATCTTCTAAAAGTCTGTGCATTATCCCTATTTCTTTTTCTACACGTTCTTTTTAATTGGTTTAACATTTTGACTCCTCTGTGATTCTTCACTTTTTTAATCTCATAGAGGTGACTGCTAGTGAGGGCACTAAGGGATGAGCCTCAGTCAGAAATCCCATTTGAGGTTCCAGTGTGCTCATGTTGATTTATCCAAGGTTGACAGTCTAAACAGAGGAACCCCGACTCATACACAGGGTAGGGCAAAAGCAGGTTTACACTTGTGAGTATGCAAAACAGTTTATTAATTATTGTATTTTCCTTATGGAACTGTGAACCTACTTTTGCCACACCCTGTATTGCTATGCATCTGTGGCTAGATGTGAAAAGGGTAATAATTCTGACTGGGACTTTGAGGCTGTGTACCTGAAGAGAACTGTAATCACTAGCATTGCTTTAAAATATTGTAGAGTGCGGTATCCTTATGAAAATGATCAGTCACCCGGTCAGCCCTTAGAGCCTTTCTGATGGAACCAGACCCTGTTCTGACTGAGCTTACTCACTAACACTTCAGGTTCCATCACTGAGGTTTTAATTTTTCACTTTTCTAAGTCATTTACATTTTGTGGAAAAGACTTTGTTCTTAATATAGTCTTGGTTAGATTATTATTTTGTAAATAATGAATATTTTTCAGATTCACCACAAATTGATGGATTATTTTACCAAGCAGTCTTGGAAAACAGCTCAACAACATCTAAAAACAATGAACCATCATATTCAGGAATACAGGTGTGTAATACAAATCTCTTCTGAACACTATGTTTTGAGTGCTGTAGTTTTTTAAATACTCTTATTTCCTTTAATAGGATCAAAAAACTTGATAAATTCCAGTTCAGCATCATAAAAGAGTTGGAGAACTTTGAAAAAGATTCACAGTCTTTAAAAGATTTGGAGAAGGAATTTACGGTTTGTGCTTTTAAGAAATTAAAAATAGCCCTAGTAGGTTTGGCTCAGGTTAGAGTGTAGGCCTGCAGACTGAAGGGTCCCAGGGTAGATTCCGGACAAGGGCATGTACCTCAGTTTCAGGCTCAATCCCCAGCCCTGTCGGGGCGCGTGCAGGAGGCAACCTACCAACATCGATGTTTCTCTCTGAAAAACAATGGAAAAGAATTTTAAAATAATTGTAAGACCTCATTTTTAAAGAGCTACACTAAGTAAAATCTATATTGACCTTCTGCTTTTAGAACCACCATAAAGATTTTTAGTCAGTTTCTTATAAACACACTTAAATTATAAACTTTAAGCTTAATAAGGGAGAAATCATGAGAGATTTTACTTTGAATATTTTTTATCTGAAAGAGTTTATGGCATCTGGAATATTCTTAGCATGTAGCCAACTTGTTTATTTATAGAAATATAGTAAATTCTACTGTCAACGTTGAATATTTAAAGTGTAATTAGTTTTTGTATTAAAATTTAGGACTTTGGGGAAAAGATAGTTCAGAAGTTCAGTGCCTATCAAAAAAGTGAACAGGAGAGGTTAGTATGACATTTTTTATGACTGGAATCTATAAAATTAGATTTTAAGTTAACAGTTTACATTATTTAAAATTTTTAAATTATGTATACTACACTATAGCGACTTAATTTGAATTCCTGGTAAGCACAAAGGTAACTTGTCATTATTATACTTGTTAGGCTTCACCTTTTGAAAGCTTCATTGGACAAGAATGTCTTCTACAGCACTGACAGGGAAGAAACTATTTGTACATCTGAGGTATACGTTACATATTTTTTATATAATTTTGGTATTGGTTAGTCTATCTTTTTGCTGTAAAGATTTTATAGTAAATTTCATGGGGGAAATACATTTATTTTACAGATGTGTTTCATGAAAGAAAACATGAAAATTCTGCAAGACAGGCTTCTTAAGGAAATGGTAAATCAACTATCTAGTTTGGGATTTTCAAATGGAATGTCTGTTTCTTTTAATGGGAAATTGTTTCACAGGTTTTCTTTTTGGATTGAGAGGAAGCAGCTTTAGCTCAGTGGACTTTGTTATTTAAATTAGAATAATAGGAGCATATTTATAGTAAAATAATAGGGGTGATTTAAAGACCCTCCTAAAAATAAAAAATTTCAAAAAAGACTATCAATTTGCCACTTGAACAGTTCTCTAGAAAAGTGAGTTCTTTGTACTTTGTCTAAGCACTGTGCAGAGCATCAGAACCCTGCCTTCTCAAGAAGGGGCGTCAGGACACCTGAAAAGAATCACTGTCCACTTGGACCAGACTTTCCAATGGTCTAGTAGACCAGCAGCTGGTTCTGGGAGAAAAGCAGTTGTGTGGGGTCTAAAGACACTGCTCCAGGTGAACGTGTCTTTGTTTTCTCAAAGAGGGTAGACATTTTTATGTATTCTTTGGTACTAATCTTTTTATAGGGGATATATTAATGTATTTAACAAATTTTAACAGAAGCCCAACATTGCTGAAATAGCTGAAGATCAGGATGTTTAGCTTGAAGCAGACAAACTAACTAGATTGATCCTTGTTGAAATTGTTCCCTAGATTATACTCAGTTTACTTCCTTCCTTTAAATATTAAATCTACAGTCAATCATTTGAGATAGAAAAGACTGAAAGTCTTCTCTCAATTGGTGATCAGTGATGATCACTGAGTTCAGCTATCTGGGAACAGACCTTGGGGGAACAGAGAGAACGAGCACATACATTATAGCTTTATGGAACAGGCTGTTTTAAAATGAATCCCTAATAGCTTGATTTTTTTCTTTCTATTTTACTTGATGGTTTGAAAATGATCATTTAAAATGTAATTTTTTCTTTCCCTGGCCATAGCAAGAGGAGGAGCTACTTAATGTACGCAGAGGACTGTTGTCATTATTCATGGCTTGTGAGACAAATGTTAATGTGGAGATCTAGCTGTTACCCAGTTCTGCCCAGTTCCTTTCTGTACATAACCAAGAAAATACCAGAGTAGCCCTACAAAGAAAAAAATACATATATAACCCAGGCAAGAGTGCCTTCGACCTCAACATTCAAGGAAATGTCTTATGCATGAGGAAAAAAACATTCTGACTCCAAGCCCCCAAACTTGTCTGTACCTTACCACTCCTTTTTGGCTTGTTTTGTAGTAATATTTAAACATGTTACTGAGTTTAAATATAGACAGACATTACTGACTTTTAATTAATTATATTTACAGAACTAGTTGTTTAAAATACTTTTTATATGATAAATTTTAGTTTATTATTAAATATATACCGTTTTATGTTATATTACTATGTATTATTAAAACTTTTACTAGTTCAGAATATCTGTAATAAAAAATTAAACCACACTTGGAGAAGTCTTTGATTTAAATGTGTGTGTAAATTGGTACTTTGTAGCACACTGGGGGAGAGTATATTTATTCAGTTATGGCTCCAAGGCACTAAATAGCCTAAAACAATTACCATACTATCTATATTTTAATTCTAGGTAGACATCTTAACTCATAGCAGGCTGTTTTGACAAGTACTTATTAAGCTTATTCATTTTGGTAATCTGCAAGATTATTTTATAAAAATGAGTACGCATTTAGTTTGCTTTAATTGCATAGTATTGAAGTTAAAATAAATGCTGTGTCACTTGGGTAAATATTATAATCATTATTTTCCTATTTTATGAACATCGGGTCAAACAGAATACCTTTCTCCAGTGCGATATCCCGAGCGCTGTGTCAAACATACCAAGCAGCCTTCCTCACTGCCGCTGGCCTGTTTCATGGTAGCAGAGCATCCGGATCCTGCCAGCGTTTAATTTGGCGGCAAAGGGGCTTGTTCGCAGTCAGCTTCATTCCGTTATTATTGTCAGCTAAGATTTATTGATGGTGGCAGGGATTCTATTTCAGGAGACAGTGACAACTCTACTGTACTATTAACTACTCCTCGGAGTGGCATTTCCGTATTGGCCTGTGAGACTTTGAGACCCTATCCGGAACTGTTTACCTCACCCTTGGCCAGCCGTCCACGACTCCTGACTCACACTGTGTGAAATCCAGCCCAGGTTCCTGCTCCCTCCGCCCTTCCCAGCCTTTCTGCTGTGCCCGTCATTGCCCCTGAATCCGTTTCCAGCCCCCTTTCCCTACCTCTCTAGCGTCCAGCTGGTCTCTATAGTTGTCCCAGGCGGTTTGCTGTGCCTGTTACCCTTCCTCCTCTTTCCTTCCCTGTTCTAGATTCCTTCGCACAGAATTATACGCTTGCCCTCCCTCCTCTCTCTGACTTTATCCAAGCCACACTCCTTATTCCAGTGTGAGCATCACTGGCGAAAACTCCCATCATCAGGCTTTACACATATTTCAGATGGCCTCTGGGTGTTGCTCAGCAGTCCTTCCTCCCCCCCGTTTCACTTGACTTCATTTTCAGAGTTCAGTGGCACCTTGGTTTTCGAACACTATAAACCCAGAAGTAAATGCTTTGGTTTTCGAACACTCCTCGGAAGTCCAACATGCCACACGGCTTCCGCTGAGGGCAAGATCCTGAGGCCTAGCTGTCGGATGCCGATCCCTCGGTTTTCCAACATTTCAGAACTCGAACTGTCTTCCGGAATGGATCACATTCAAAAACCGGGGTACCGCTGTATTTTTGTAGATCGATGCCTCTTCATTCTTTACCTGTCAGCTGACGGCTCGCCTCGTACTCTCATCTTTTCTCAACCCTAACCTAGTAACCTCGTACCGGCACTGGCACTGGCGATTTCCCACATGCTCGCGTGGCAGCTTTGCCTCTTCCTTTCAGCACCCCCACCATGTGTGTTCCTGTGCTGTCTTTACTTCTCTGTACTGTGTGCATAGCTCACACTTAGTTTTTACAAAGCCCGACATCCAGTTTGCCTCTGCTGCCCTCACTACAATTCTCTCTACTCACCTGTTGAACATATTGAAAGAATTTTCTCTAGCTAGTGTCTCAACTTACACACTTCCTAACTTCCTATTTGTTCTGCCTTCCCTTGGGCCAGTTTGTCTCTACTATCTCACCGGAACTGCTTTTATCAAAATCACCAGGATTCATTTTACAAAACCTCTACCTTCTTTGACCCAGCTTCTCGGTGCCATTTCACCCATGGCTGGCATGCATTTTCCACTCCTTGTCTGCTTCCCGGCTTGGCCTCCCTTTTGCCTCTTCACCTAGGGCTCATGCCTAGTCCGTCTTTCACTTGCGCCTTAGGTAATTTCATCTGTGTGCCAGATCTGACCTTTACTCTGGATGTCACAGTGTCGGATACACTGCTTTGTTGACAGAGCTACAGGCATCACAGTTCTCAAAACAACGCAGTTTCTCTCCCTCCACATTCTTTCTCATCACCAAAGAATAAACCTTGTTGTCCCCTCTCAGTCAATGTCACTTTTAATCACACAGTTACTCAAGCCAAAAACCTAGAAGTAATTACTGATTTCTCTTTTTCCTTTGGCCAGTGAGTTGACTGACAAGTCTTGCAGACCAGACTACCAAATGCGTCCGACATGTATACTTCATCACTTCCACTGTCACTGCCTTTGACATTGTCAACATCATTTCCCCCACAGACGATTCCAGCAGCCTCCAGCACTCGTACTTGCCTTTCCATACTCTATCCACTTGGCAGCCGTCTGTGCTTGGTAACAGATCATACCATGCCACACCCTCCTGAAAACTCTCCAGTGAGAATGTATTCTTAAATACCCAATGGCTCAAAGAAGTCACAAGGAAAATTAGAAATACTTTAAAACAAATGAAAATGCAGTGAAAGCAGTACTCAAAGGGAAATTTATAGCTGGACATTTATATATATTCAAAGTGAAGAAAGCTCTCAAATCAATAACCTAACCTTATAATTTAACTAGGAAAAGGTCAAATTATATCCTAAGTGGTCAGAAGGAAGAAAATAATAAATATTAAACTGCTGATTTTAGAAGCAGACTAGAAATACAATAGAGAAAACAGTAAAACAAAAATGTGGTTCTTTGAAAAGATCAAGAGAATTGATAAACCATTAGACTAAGAGAAACAGAAGACTAAAATTTCTAAGATCAGAAATGAAACTTGTGGGCATTACTACTGACCTAACAGAAATAGAAATAAGAGAATTTCTATGCATGATTTTAGTACCAACAAACTGAATAAGTCAGATGAAATGGATGACTTCCCAGAAACAGACCCAAAACTGACTCAAGAGCAAGCAGGAAGGTGAGCAGGCCTATAGCAAGTGAAGAGACTGACTCAGTAATCACAGACCTAGCAAAGCATCCTGCCAAACACTTAAAGGACAGTTAATACTGGTCCTTCTCAAACGCTTCCAGGAAAATAGGAGAGGAAACATTTTTCACCCACTCTATGGAGCCAGCATTACCGTGGCACCAAAGCCAGATAAAAACATTACAAGGAAAAGCAACAGACCAGCATCCCTTATGAATATACATGTAAAAATTCTTAAAAAACGCTAGCCTACTGAACTCAGCAGTATATTAAAGGACATTTAATGAAGCAGGTGCAAGATCTGTACAGCAGGACCTCGAATAACATTTTAATGCTGAGATGCCTTAGGAGCTTAGCTCTAATATCAGTTAGCCTATGGTAAAATTGGTTTTATTATACATCATTTCACTTGAAGTCGTATAACCTTATCAGTGACATTGAGGATTTACTGTACACGGAAGACTACAAAACACTGTTGAAAGAAAACCGTTGTAAGTGGAAAGATACCCCGTGGTCATCCATTGTAAGACATAGTATTGTTAAAACTGCAGTATTCCATGAAGCAAGCTACAGATTTAATGCAATCCCAATCAAAAGCCCCAATGGCCTTTTTGGGAAATGTAAAATTCATTCCTAAAAATCACATGGAAATGGAAGAGACCCTACAGAGCTAAACAATCTTGAAGGAATAGTAATGAAGTTGGAGGACTTACGCTTCCCAATTCAATACTACAGAGCTAAATTAATCAAAAGAGCGTGGGCCCTATAAAGGGTAGACGTATGGACCAATAGAATAGAATTGAGAGCCCAGAGATAAACCTATTCACCTCTGGTCTAGTGAGTTTCATCAAAGGGGCCACAGCCATTTGGTGGGGAAAGAATAGTCTCTTCAACAGATGGTTTTGGGACAAGCTGGATAGCCACATGAAGGTTTGAACTCTTAACCTTACACCATATATAAAAACTCCAAAAGGATCAAAAACTTAAAAGGAAGAGCTAAATTATAAAAGTCTTAGGAAAAAACATAGAAGTAAATCTTCGCAGCCTTGGATTTGGCAATGGATTCATAAACATAACACCAAAAGTACCAGCAACAGGGGAAAAAGGTGAACTGGACTTCATCAAAAATTTTAAAAACTTTTGTGAATCCAAGAATATATTCACAAAAGTGAAAAACCACCTACAGAATGGGAAAAAATATTTGCAAATCATATCTGATTAGGGTCTAGTGTCCAGAATATGTAAAGAATTCTTAGAACTCAACAAAATGGCAAACACCCAGTTAAAAATGGGCAAAGGACTTGCATGAACACATCCACAGAGAAGACACACAAATGACCAACAGCACAGTAAAATATACAGGACAGCATTAGTCATTAGGAAAATGCAAATCCAAACCATAATGAGGTACCACCTCACACCCACTAGGATGGCTAGGATGTGCAGGAGCTGAAACCCTGTGTATTTCTGGGGGAATGTAAAATACCACCGCNCAGAATCAAAAAGGAGAGAATGTAAGTTTGGGCTAGGATGTGCAGGAGCTGAAACCCTGTGTATTTCTGGGGGAATGTAAAATACCGCCGCTGCCGTGGGAAGCTCAATTCCTCAAGTGAAACGTGGAATTACCAAATGACTCAGCAAAGAGTTTATAACGAGTGTTGGAATTTGGAACAGATTTGATGTTAAATTTTTTTAAGCTTATTTACAAACAAAATTTAGCTGTTTTAGTTTGTTCTGTGTAACTCATTCTTAACATTTTCTATTAACTTTTTTGAAAAAAGTTTAGAGCAGGAGTTGGCAAACTATCTTAAGGGCTATACAATAATGGGTTAAGTCTTTTGGGCCAAAAGGTGAATTGGGGGCTATCATGTAGGTACTTGTATGAACATGGCAAATGTAACCATTTAAACAGGTAAAAACCATTCTTACTTTGCAGGCTATTAGAAGAAAAATGCAACAGACAGATGTGGGCCAGATCTGGTCTGTGAGGCACAGTTTGCAAGACCTTGAGTTTAGAAGAAAAATGTTACAGATCAGATCTCTGTTCTTTATTATAAAATTTATCCCTCAATTTACCTTACTATTTAACAGAAACAGTGATTTAAATAGATTTTGCATTAGCAAAATCTAAAGACTGTTAACTAATATAGCTAAAACTTGATGATTTTTCTATGTCAAACATATTAAAAACAAATGATCATGTAGCCAATGACATATTTCTTACCTGGATCCCAGTCTCACCCCACGTCGGTGGAGGTTTACTGCACTGCATCAGCCAAGTCGAGGGAAAATGGTCCGTGTCCCAGAGCATGTGGTAAAGACACGGGAGAGAGAAAACTGCAGAGTGCGCGTACTTACTTAGTGCAGGATCACATGTACTTACCAGGCGCAGGGTACATGTACTTGACTAAGTTTTAGTTTATGTCTTAGCCTCTATAACACCTGACAGGAACATAAATATGGAAATACAATTGAGAATAATCATTTGTGAATAAAAGCACAACGAATGGCACAAGTTAGATACTACTGCTAAGAATGTTGGTTTCGGTACAATGGTCCTATGATATCTTAGAACGCTTGAGCCTGGACCAAACTAAACCCTCCTTTGGGTAGCCTGTACTCTTATCTTCATTTTAATTTACTTGCCCATTAGTTATGCGACTCAACTTGGATAAAAACCTAGACGAGTCCCTTCTACCAGCGCATCTCTAGCCACAGACACAGTTTAGTGACTTTCTAAGCAGTACTGATGCTTTTTGCTTTGGGGGCCAGCGTGGGTTTTAGAGCAGAGGCACCTTTCTCAGCTTTCTGTGTTCCATAGCAAGTATATGGATATTTCTATGTGAGGGAGATTGAAATCTTAGTTTTACCTCATCTTGGCTCCAATTTATATTTTAAATTGAATAAAATATACACTAGGGAGCTGCTACTACGTAGCTTAAAATAGAAGGAAAACTTCAGTTTTTTTGGAGGTTGACTGGCCACAAATAATTGGTTATGAGTAAAATAGAGTACACCTATAGATACATATATTAAAAACTACATATACATACACATAGATGTTTACAAAATTAAGGAACTACCTTCTAGTTAGAAAGGGTTTAGGTATCATCTCATTTCATAGTCAAAGAAATTGAGGCTCAGAGAAGTCAAGCAATTCACAGAATATTACACAGCAAAATAGAGCTGGAATTTTTCTACCATAACAGTGATTTCTTACACAAGACTCTAATTCAACTGGAATATGTTTACTAGCACCCAGGAGTGATCACAAGGCTCTCGGGACAAGGTGCTACCATAAGGGTTGGGCAGTTTCCACGGGCTCCTGACCCACGGCAGCCTTAAGGAAGTAGAAGAGGGAAGGTGTCGGAAAGCATCGGGGCAGCACGTGTGGGAAGAAGTCGCACAGGACGCTCAGGTGCTCCAGGCTACCTGGCAGCCATACCAGCAGCTCACGTCTAGAGTGCGCTGCACGCCGACACTTCAACTCCTTTACTGCCTTTGGAAAAGTTCAACATCGCTCATGAAGGAGATGCAAGTCAAAACCACAATGAGATAGCACCTCACACCCGTCGGAAGGGCTCCCTCAGCAAATCAACCTACGACACATGCTGGCGAGGGTGTGGGGAGGGGAGCCCTGCTGCACTGCTGGTGGGGGTGCAGACGGGTGCAGCCGCTACAGAAAACAGTATGGGGGCTCCTCAAAACATTAGAAATGGAGCTGCCTTTCAACCCGGCAATCCCACTTCTAGGAATATATCCTAAGAATCCCGAAACACTAATCAGAAAGAATATATGCTCCCCTGTGTTCATAGNAAAACACTAACCAGGAAGAATATATGCTCCCCTGTGTTCATAGCAGCACAGTTCACAATAGCTAAGATCTGGAAACAGCCAAGTGCCCATCAGTAGGTGATGGATAAAAAAGCTGTGGGACATTCACACCAGGAACACGACTCGGCCATAAAAAAGAAATCTTACCTTTAGGGGAGGGGCTGGGGGCTGGTGAAAAAGGTGCAGGAACTGAGCGGTACAAGTTGGTAGAATAGCCACAGAGATGTGTTAGGGTGGGGAACACAGTCAATAATGTCGAGATAACGGAATGGGGCCAGGCGGGTGCTGGGGGACTGTAGAGTGGATGGTTTCCCAGCCACTTTGCTGTACATCTGAAACTGGTGCGGAATGGTACTGATGTAAACTGTGGTTGAAAAATGTAAACATTGCAGCAGGTTGTCAGACACAGCGACAGGTGATGTTCCTATAGAGAAAGTAAATGGGTGGCCGAAGAGGCAGACCTGGGACTTGAGGGAGGTTCCACAAGCCGGCAGCTGCTCCAGGCCGGCACTCCCTGCCTCGGGCTGTCCCTGTCCCGGAAATGGGGGGGTAGCTCATTTTGTGAGGACACTTACTCAGAATCCACATAAAAATCTCCAGGGACCATGCATTCTATTTAACGTATTCCCCCTTTGTACCAAGATTACTTTTTACCTTTGTGCTGGGTACATTTCCTCCCTATATCCTCCACTCCATCTAAACCTGGGACTCTTATAACAGTTTTTAATAACGTTCACGTGAACTTAAGAATACACTTAAAGAGGGAAGAATTTTCATCTTGATAGAATTTTTCAGCAAGTTAGTACTTATTTTCTAGGTTCGTTACTTAGTGATTTGTAAATTTAAATTAACTTGAAAAAGTTTGAATTTTCCCAGGCACAAACCACAGAGACTAACAGTTTATAAAACAAAACACATGCTCTGGCCAGGTGTTCAGTGGTTAGAGCATTGGCCTGCAGACTGAAGATGTCCCGGGTTCAATTCCCGCCAAGGGCACATGCCTCGGTTGCAGGCTCGATCCCCGGTGCAACCAATCGATGTCTCTGTCTCACATCGATGTTTCTCTCTCTCTCCCCCTTCCACTCTATGAAAAGCAGTGGAAAAAATATCCTCAGGTGAAGATTAAAAAAATTTAAAAGAAAGGTCTATAAGCAGCCCAAGCGCCCATCAGTGGCTGAGTAGATAACAAAGCTGTGCAACATTTATACCATGGACTACTACTCGGCCATAAAAAAGGAAGGAAATCTTACCTTTAGGGGAGGGGGTTGGGGGTCGGGGGCTGGTGGAAAGGTGCAGGAATTCCAAAAAGTTGGAATTCTCTTTTATGCATTTGGATTCTGATGTCTCAAAAATAATAAAATTTGACTTGTTTCCTAGACTACTATTCAGACAAAACTCTCATCCCAACCCCAAGAAAATAGAAAGCCCAGGTGAATTTCCTGCAATAAGTAGTCATTTAATTAAAGAACAAAATTAACAGGAGTCAAAATGTTGCAGCTGTAGTTTTGTTAGACATTATATAAAAAAGAAGTATAATACCGGAAATCATTCTGTATAACATGAACTTAGAGAGTTCTCAACTCAACCGTGATCGGAATAAAAATGTCTTTTCAACGTAATACTGAATGACACCGAGTCGCGCGTCCCTCTTGTCCGAGGCCTCGGAGTGCCGAGCGGGTCACCTGTCCTCCGTCGGCCACAGCACTGAAAACAAGGCTCAAAGGCAAACAGTTTTCTTCTGGCAGTTCCTCTGGGGTCAGCGGGCCCGGCAGCCCCCCGACGGCGAGGAAGCGTGTCCGGCCCCGACGCGCAGGCTGGAGCCGAACCTCAGGAGAGTCCCCTGATGAGTGTCCAGTGTTGGTATCAAAAGTTAAACACAAATTCTTCTCAGAAGAAAATCTCTACGGCCTGTGGAATCTAGAGATTATTTTTAAAAAGAACAACTTCAGGTTATACATTTGGAAGCTGAAACTGCTAAAACTTCCCACAAAGGAAGCTGTTACTAAAAGTGCCTCTTTAGTCCACCCTGGGAAACCTGCTCTGGTTCATGTGTATGGAGCACCTCAGAGGGCTCCCCACTCCCAGGCCCCCTTGCACCCACAAAGGAACGATACCCCCAATTCTCAAGACTTCCTCAGACCTAGTTGGAAAGCTGCTCGCTAAATCCCTGACATGCACGGAACGGCAGGACATCGCTCAGCTGACAGTAGTTACGGCTGGGCTTGTTTTATAGAGTTGGTAACGTGTCTCATGGAAAGCTCATATGACCAAACATACTGTTCTGACTTTTAAAAAGGACAGTAAATCCTAAAATGTGGTACTATAAAAATCTTAGTTACTTCCTGATGTCCCATTTTTGGGCTCGCTCTCAAAATTCCATTTTCTAAGAAAGCTATCAAGGGCTTGAGAGAGGAAATGTATCTTTAGCCAACATCTCTTCATAATTTACAATGGGAAAATGTATTAAACATTTTGACATTAGTCTACATAGAGCATAGATCCTTGTCTTTAACACACACTGAACCTTAAGAATAATTTTGAACGCTATACTGGAGACTCCTAAATTGCTGGCTCAGAACTCAAACGCAAGGTGGTCCATTCCTTCCCAAATGCACACGTCATGGGGAGAAACTTCAGAAATTTTTAAGCAAACTGTCTACGCGGTCATTCTCCCCACCCTTGCAGCCTCCTCTGCCCCCTCGGCTCTTCACCGGGAAACTGTCCCGCAGGACAGAAGCGTAGGGCACCGTCTCAGTCGCACAGCGATGCCGGCCTTAGGGAGTAAAGCTAACTGACACCGCTGGGCCACCTCGTGGCACAGGGAGGAGAGGACTCCAGCGTCCTGGCTTAAGGTGGGAGTTCCTTTCTCCTTGGTCCGGGCTTGTGCGCCTTTAGACCACGGGGGAGAGGGCAAAGCACCTGCTTGGTGGTGGAAGACTGGCTGCTCATGGGCATTGCTCTGGGACGAAGGGCACGAGAACCTCAGAGGGTGACTCCTGGTCGTGGCCACGGACAAGGGGGTGCTGAGACAATATGCAGCCCGAGGAGCAGAGAGGAGCCAGGCTCCACTCTCCACAGACGCAGTCCTCTTTAGGAGCCACATGCCCGAGGAGAGATGCGCCTCGGGGCGAAGTCTCGTGGGGTGTTGCGGATATTAGAGGAGGGAAATTAAATACATAAGCAAGTCACTATTGCCTCAGACTGACCTTCTTAAATGTACATTAACTACGCAGACAAGCCAACGCCCTGTGCGGTGCTGCTCTGCGGGTCACAGCCCGCACCAGGCCCTGGAGGAAACGTGGGCGTGAACCCACTTCCAGCCGAGGAGCAGCTGACTGCTCCATGCAGCTCTGCAGAAGCACTGGCTTTGTTCACCTGGCCACGTAGTTCTCGGTGGCATTTTTTTTTCTTAAATAAATACCAGGCTATAAGCCCCACGCTCGCACGGATAGAGGTCTGACCTTGTCAGATGCTTGCTGGACGCATGCACCTCCATTTCGTTGCTCTTGTATTCATTCAGCTCCTTGCGGATCGCTGCCTGGGATTTAAACAGCACGTGGGTGTTCAGGACATTAGAGAGTTGACATCGGACATTAGTATGTGACTGTGGATCAGCAGTCATTGCTAATACAGACGCCTCTTACTTTGCAATATATTTCAAAAGAGAAAGGAAGAAAACTTTTTGTTCAGCATTTAGACTCGGACTCATCTTCATGGTCCTGCCAAGCCAGTGTTTGGCCAGTGCTTGGGAGGGTCCGGGGCATGTATTTGCTGTGCTGTGCTGGGGCAGGGAGACGCCCCTTTCCCCGATACATGAGAGACTGATCGGGTCCATGCTTAGGGCACTTACACAGTAGAAACACCAAACCCAAGAGTAAAGAGCAGCTTTGGTAAACGGGCAGTCATTCTAACTTCAGCATGCATTTGTTTCCTGTCACTTGAAATATAACACGGCCCTTGCACATCGTGACATGTGCCTCTCATCTGGCCCTCCTCCCGCTCCCCAAGGCCCACCCTCCCCAAGTACTTCTCCCTCTGATCAACCCTCCCAGGGCCAGGCAACCCAGGAAAGGCAGGCAGGGCCTGGCCTCTGTGGCAAGGACAGGCTCTGAATCCGGGATTTCAGGGTGCTACTCCCACACTCCACAGGTCCACTGTCACTTTTTTTACACGTAGAATCCCTGCGAGCCCACTGACCGTGGGTGACAAAGAGGCAGTCCACACACGTCTACCTTTCTCCAAGTTGGTGCAAACCCATGTGCATTACGTACAACCTTGAACATGCATGCTCAGCACAGAGCGCGCGAGCCACGGTTAGCGCCCCCGCAAGCTCTGGGCTGAGTGCCCGCTCGGCCTCGCCCTAAAGGCCGGAGAGCTCTGAGAGCCACAGCGGAGCAGCGGACGGCAGGCGGGGCTGGTGTAACCCTGTGAGGCCGCGGCGCTCCCCTAGTCGCCGTTGGGGCCAGCAGCAACACCTCTCCTGCAGGCCTTTCTGAGGGTTACACGAGTGATAGCTGACGGCAGGCTCAACAGGGAGAGTCAGGGCTCGGTGGACACTCGCTCGCGGCTTAGCCCCGGGACCCCCCCCCCTGC